TCGCTGCCACCAGTATGGGCGCGGCCATTACAAGAATCTTGAAATTTGCCCTCTAACCCCAAACGTAGTAACGTTGATACTTTTGTTATGTCTTTGGGAATGCCATCATATATTTCATTTTGAAAAGGTTTACGACTGACCATGTTTTCCAGATGAATTTACTTTGTTGTTTTAATAATCAGATTGGTTCGAGATTGCAGACAAACGGAAAATCAACCAACTTCTCCCTTACATTCTTACTTTATCAATAACACGATAGTTTTAGTGAAACAGAAATTCAAATTGACAAACGAAGAAATTAATTTAGCAGCGATAAGTGTATTCGGCAGTCGTCGCTTGTTTGTAAACATAACGGTCATTCGGTTGCGAGTTCAACTCCAAGCATGGTTGTGGCCACCTATTCAGAATGGGGAGTTTTGACTGGTGGCAGCGATAGTATAGAGAGCTCCGCGAACGGGCTATCGCTGTGAGAAGCTTGGTTTCTGGCGTGCTCAAGGGACGCAACTCTGCACAGAGAATCGCGTCCCCCCGTTTGTTAAGAGTCATGAATGAGTTTATACATACTATGTTATTAATAGAATGTATTAAATTAACAAAATAGGTCTGTAAAGAATACAAAACATATATATTTGGGTGTGTGAGGTGCTGCGATTTTATCAAAAAGATCGATTGCCTCCGATAAATTTTGAAAAATATGATATATGCTTCAGGCTGTTGAAAAAAATGAAATTGCCTGCCACAAAAAATATATTGCTGCAAGGTGTTTTAATGTTTACACTAACGGTATTAAATAATTAGTGCGAAGTGAAGTGAAATTGGGTTTAACGTCGTGTCCAAGATTCTTGCACTTATATAGCGACGTTATTAAATAATTAAATGTGTAGAATGAATTATGTTTACTTATAAGCTCCTTATTTCTAATGTACTGAATTTTAATCAAAGCAACTGAGCATCTGTTTTTACATTACAATTCTGTGTAGCTATGTTATGTGTCATTTACATAAAAGAAATGTATGTTATTCCCCGTAAGGCAAAGAAAACATATTATGACTATTGTCCCCGCCGACGTCATTTTCGACCTCCCTCAGTATAAAGCCTGTTCGGTTAGGTATAATATTCCAATTCGAAAAGCGCATTTTTGTAACGATGTTTAATTTTGGACTTTTTAGTGAGTGAGTGAGTAAGGTTTTACGCCGCTTTTAGCAATATTCCAACAATATCACGGCGGGGGACACCAGAAATGGGCTTCACACATTGTACCCATGTCGGGAATCGAACCCAGGTCTTTGGCGTGACGAGCGAACGCTTTAACCACTAGGCTACCCGACCGCCCCGGACTTTTTAGTATCTTAGCTATGATCATGGGTTCGAATCCCGATTCGCACTGATTACGAGTCTACATGTGACATCGTGATATCACCAAAGTGTCAAACGTGTAAGGCCTGCTTTCCTTTGACATAAAGCTGACCCAACTCACTCACTCACGCACTCACACACTCACTCAGCATCTACCACCCATGGCAATGACAAGTGTTATGTTGAAAACATCAGTTTCCATATCATCATAAAAATGTCATTAGTTTTCAGTAAAATTACATGATTACAGTTATTGATACTTTTGAGTATATACACAGAAAACACATTTCATTGAATCTTACTGTGAGGTTTTTGGTTTCTGTCTATTGTACAGCCCCTGTCCCCGGCCCTGGTGTGATTCCTCCTCGACCACGCCCTTGTCCTGCGTGGGTCAACGAGAGAGGGGACTGTTTTCTCGGCGACATGGTGTTGACCAAACAACAGTGCATCGACATGGTGGGTTTGGCTGAATACAACTCCTTCCACAGAGGCAACCCCAGCTTAGTGGACTAACAGTGCTTTGGTTGTATTGTTTTGTGACTGGATATTTTATACACACCATGAGGCGTCTTAATCTCAGAATAATCACCGAAGATATATATGATTGTACATGTGCATTTGATTGGTTCATGACATATGATGTACATATAAGAATAAAACATTCATTGTTGTTGTTGTTGTTGTTGGTTTGTTGTTTAACGCCGCACTCAGCATTATTCCAGCTATATGACGGCGGTCTGTAAATAATTGAGTCTGGACCAGACAATCCAGTGATTGATATCATGAGCATCGATCCACGCAATTGGGATGGATGACATGCATCAACCAAGTCAGCGAGCCTGACCACGCGATCCCGTTAGTCGCCCTTTACGACAAGCATAGTCGTTAAACAGTAATATGGTTTTGTGACCCATGAAGATCCGGGCTGTGTTGGTCCTCAGCAACCCATCGTAAGAGGCAACTAACGGGATCGGGAGGTCAGAAGTGCTGACTTGGCTGATGCATGTCATCGTATTCCAATTGCGTAGATCGATGCTCATGATGTCATTCACTAGATTGTCTGGTCCAGACTGGATTATTTAGACCGCCGTCGTAGAGCAGGCATATTGCTGACTGCAACGTTCAAAGGCCAAACAAACAAATATGGTTTTGTCGCTTTTATAAAGGTATGATGAGTTCACATTGATCAAAACTATATCCTTTGTACGTATTCGCACATTATGTAATGAAGTTCAGCAAAAGAAATACTTCATTCATTGCCTCCCTTTATGCGCTGTTTGAAAGCTGTTGTTACCCTGTCTGGCGCTCGGCATTATGGGGCTAAAACAAGGACTGGTCGGCTCGGATACAGTGTCTGGTAAGGTATTCATGTTAAACTGCGGCATTGTATCTCAGTGAGCTAGCACTATAAATCGGCATCATTCCGGACTACTACAAGCACGCACGCACGCACGAGCGTTGTATACCTGCAATAATCTTGAGTGCATTTCACCTCACCTGACCTTACCTAACCTCACCTCACCTCACCTCTATATAAATCCATAGCAACAATCTTGAACGCGACGTTAAACCCCATTTCACCTCACCTCACCTCACCTGTTTGAAAGCCGTGATTTACGTCACGCCACACCTTGCCACAAGGGGTACGTTACTGAAACTAGCGTACAAGCTATTTGATATTAAGCTAACTATTGTTTGGTCTAACTGTGGTCTCATGCGCAATTCGACGACTGCGTAAGCATCAATACCTCATGGCTATTCTAGGAATATCATGAACATGTCTTGTTTTCACATGTGTTTGCTGGTCTTCTTACGTGTATTCACCAGTTGCTCTATGTACTTTGTCTCCATTGTATCTAGCCCGCATACCAATACATTCACACCCTTTCAAAGCGGCATTTGAAGCTGTAATAAAACACTTTCATGGCCAAATCATGAATATTGTACTGTGATATGTTTTGTCGGGGTCAGTGTCACTTGTTGACAACCAGTCAAGCAATACCTTGGGAAGCAAACGTTTGTCATCCATTAAAGCGACATTGCCGAGAAAACACTTTACGTTTCATTGGTATGCTGGGTGTTCGTAAACCTTGTGTTATGTAAGAGAACATTCGAACTGTTTGTGTGTACATCATGGTTTTTCTAATGGTTTCATATTCCAAATGTGAATGAGTGAGTTAGGTTTAACGCCGCTTTTAACAGTATTCCAGTTATATCGCGGCGTGTCAGCTTGATGTGGGAGGAAAGCCCGAAGTGATGCAGTTCTCAGACGTTTACAACTTCGGTGAAACCCACGAGCATGGGTATGGTGCTGACAAACCTAGAAACCTAATCGGGACGAACGGGGATTCGAACCCACAATCATAGGTTTCTGGCGTGCCCAAGGGACGCAACTCTGCACAGCGAATCGCGGCGCCTTAGACGACTGGGCCACCCGTGCCCATCACATCTGAATAAATAAGTGAGTATGGTTTTAAGTTGCTTTTAGATCAATTCCAGTCATACGCCGGGGACACTACATATGGGCATGTGGAGAATCGAACCCCGACGAACGAACCCTTCATCCATTACGCTACATCACTGTCACAACATTTACAACAATTAAAATAATTGTCTTACCTTTTTATTTCTGAAACGAGTGATGTAATTACAATATATTCTCTTCGGCAGTTCTACTTCGCCTAGGGTTGTGGATAGCCTAGTGGTAAAAGCGTTCGCCCGTCATGCCGAGACCCAGTTTCGATTCCCCACCTTTGTACAATGTGTAAATCCCATGTCTAGTGTTCCTCGCCGTGATAATGCCGAAACATTGGTAAAGGTGGCGTAAAACCATACCCCCTCACTCATTCACCTCTTCGCATAATTAACGATATGGAAAGTTTTCAGTAATTGATCTTGATTAGCGGTTGCTAAAATATGTGCTCAACAATACAAACATAACTGTTGTGCTTCAGCTAAACCCGGTGCACGGTAGGCTCAGTGGTCAAATGTTGCATGCTTAGTCATGCCAAAATGCGCCGATCGTGAGTTTGAATCCCGTGTTCACCGTGAAACGTTATTGGTTTATCAGCACCGTATCCGTGCTCGTGGGTTAGTTAACAAACCATAAACGCCTACGACCCACGTCACTTTCCCCGTACATTACGCTGTCATACCGTAATAAAACTGAAATATTGAATTGGCGCTTGAACCAACCTAGTCCCTCACTCACAGTCGTGCGGCGCCATATTGTACCTATTGGGTGAAGTCCGTTAACTATTAGTGCTCAAAGGTATCTCTGATCATTCTCTAAATTTGAAAATAATATCAGTCATAACGATTCACATGATAACTTCTATTAAATGCTTTTAACATTCATTTGTATACATTCTACAAGAGTATTTGATGGTAAAGCATACATGCAAATTTCTGTCATGAAATGAATCAAGGTTAGCGGAACTTGATTGAATACCTGTACCAAACGTATTGATATTACTGTCGAACTACCTTTGATAAGGTTCAGTAAACCGGAAAATAACCCAGACTTTAACACCGTCGTAAACCTGTTTGAAAATAAAATCCGGCTTATTCATTGAATCCGTTGACGTTTTCTGTTGTCAGTACACACCTAACGCGCACGGCTATGTATGAATAGGGCTGCGGCAGGGCTGTATGCTACCGACTATTAATTTCTGCATACGTTTCAACCATACGACGGAGGTAGTGTCGTAGATTAATATCATGGAAACTGGTTCAGGAGGGTTAAGTGTGTCATCCACTAAAATTGTTTTCGGTGATCAGCCTGATTACCGCTGGTTGAGTCTGTAATGTTTTGACACTACTGTGAGTTCAATATGTGATTCTTGTTGCCATTTAGGATGGATATATTCAGTTCAATATTCCTCAGGAGTGTTTGTCTTCTCGGTGCGTTGTGGCCACTCGATACAAATGGTAGGTGTTATAGGCCTTCACAATAGAGTAGTGTATATCTTTCTACTGTGTTGAGTTGTGTTATGACTCGTTCTGTAAATGATCATAAAGGATCATTTCTACACGCATCTTCCAAAACAACTAACACGTGTTACACATGGTGCTTTTCTTCAGTAAACTGTTGTATTGGTTATGCTTATATCAAATGTTTATGATGTTACATATTATTCATACCATATGCAAGCATTTGAGTCTACTATATGACTTATGATATAAAGGTCAAATGTTTGAACAGCAATACCTGCCAACTCTAGTTTTACCTGTTTTATTCGTCTTTTGGCCCAGTTACATACTTACATACAACACAACACTTTATCGTCTACTACAGAGACTTCTTTATAGTTTATACAATCTAAAGAAGCCCTTTGCTCTATAAACATATGTGCATGAACGAAACTGATTCGTCATGTTTATGAGGTAGTGTCTTCCAGGGCTAAGGACCTGGTCCAATCCACACCCTAGCTTCGTGCCACCTTATTTTCTTGTATGTCAACGGGTCAACAGAACGCTGTTCACCGTCAATATTCCTCAGGAGTGTTTGTCTTCTCGGTGCGTTGTGGCCACTCGATACAAATGGTAGGTGTTATAGGCCTTCACAATAGAGTAGTGTATATCTTTCTACTGTGTTGAGTTGTGTTATGACTCGTTCTGTAAATGATCATAAAGGATCATTTCTACACGCATCTTCCAAAACAACTAACACGTGTTACACATGGTGCTTTTCTTCAGTAAACTGTTGTATTGGTTATGCTTATATCAAATGTTTATGATGTTACATATTATTCATACCATATGCAAGCATTTGAGTCTACTATATGACTTATGATATAAAGGTCAATGATAATAAAACATACAATAATTGAACGATAATGAATAAATTTCTTCTGAAAACAAGACCAGATCGATAGTTGATTTATAACAGTAAACATGACACAAGCCCTCCATAGTTTGTTTGTTTGTTGTTTAACGCCGCACTCAGCAATATCCCTCAATAGTAGATGTAAGACATCAACAAATATACAGGCTATGTATATATGTTTCTTAACCTGAATTGATCAAGAACGATAAATCAAAATATGTTATATCCTTAGTCAATAGTCTATATGTGGCCCAGTTGCCCATAATAGCACATACTAGTATTGTTACATAGTTACCATTTTGCACTGAATAGCATTATTTTTGGTAGATCATTCGATCCCTTTGTGCGTGTAATTGATTTATTTGATTATGATCTGAGGAAAATGTACATCAGAGATGTTTACGCTACGAAATCGCATCTGTTTATCTTCATATTAATATGTATATGCAATATTCGTCACAAAATCAATGATATCAAATTTAGGTACATACGCATGACACAACGTCATGTGGTACATGCTTCAGAATAACAGATAACTTCAATAAATGTTTGAACAGCAATACCTGCCAACTCTAGTTTTACCTGTTTTATTCGTCTTTTGGCCCAGTTACATACTTACATACAACACAACACTTTATCGTCTACTACAGAGACTTCTTTATAGTTTATACAATCTAAAGAAGCCCTTTGCTCTATAAACATATGTGCATGAACGAAACTGATTCGTCATGTTTATGAGGTAGTGTCTTCCAGGGCTAAGGACCTGGTCCAATCCACACCCTAGCTTCGTGCCACCTTATTTTCTTGTATGTCAACGGGTCAACAGAACGCTGTTCACCGTCATACTGTCAGTTGTATACATAGGAAAACATGGGAAAGAGTTATGCACGAATCACAAGGTAAAGAAATGTGTGACAGCTCTCTTTTGACGCACGTAGAGCGGATAAATAGCATTTGGTTTGACATTGTATTCACGCGTTGACTGTGATATGGGAAACCTTGGTCATTCAGTGCTGTACATGACTGTCGAACACGTTTTGCTAGTGTATTTATTATATACATGTAAATGATATGTGTTTGTTGAGATTATGCCTTAGTTATTTTCACTGAGGGGGTGAGTTTGGCTTATCGTTGGATTTATCGTTGATCGGCAGGATACGCTCACCTTTTCGCGAACACCTGGTATCATCACTATTTGATAGTGATTCCTAGACACATGCTCATGATAAAGCTGGAATCGCACAGTCGCTTCTGTTTTGACAGAGATTTCTTATGAATGTGGAAAAGTGTTTGGTCGCTTTTATTTACGTGTACATGTCCAATAATACAAAGACAGTTAGACATTTTATCGAAATGTTTTGTTTTGTTTGTTTGTTTGTTGTTTAACGCCGCACTTAGAAATATTTATGCTATATGACGGCGGTCTGTAAATAATCGAGTCTGGATCAGACAATCCAGTGATTGACAACATGAGCATCAATCCACGCAATTGGGATTGATGACATGCATCAACCAAGTCAGCGAGCCTGACCACCTGATCCCGTTAGTCGCCTCTTACGACAAGCACAGTCGCCTCTTATGGCAAGCATGGGTTGCTGAAGACCTATTCTACCCCGGATCTTTTTCGACAAGCAAATGTGATTCATTAGACTGATAGATGATACATTATCACAAATAATTGTTAAGTGTGTACATTGATCCAATACACGACAAGTGGCAAATTCGAAAACGTCCAATTTATATCTCGAATTCAGATCGAGATATATGTTGTACACCACAGGGGTGTGAGTATGGAGGCCATCGTGTTTAGGTATCATGCCATTGTCGCCTCCTTGACATATTACCTTTCGTATGTATCTACCATTGTGAAATGAGTGGCGTGCCTGCTACAATCGTGTTGAAAGTCTTTAAGTGACATAAGAAACCGGAAATCTTTCGGAGTTTTTTTCACTTCGTAATTGTATGAAACCTTTCCTATGTGCATTTTTTCATCTCAATCCCTGATCCGTTGGTTCTATATGAACTTTTGAGCATCGAATACCCAAAAATGCCCCCAAATCTGAAAGCATTTAATGTTTATATCTCACCATGTTCTGTGAATCGAAAGAAAAATAGACACTGGCTGTCACGGACTGCAACTCCAGATTACAAACAACAATCACTTAGTGTAAGTTGTAGTTTAGCATATATGAGGGCCTAACAATGATAACTCTAATAATACATATGGTGTTATGCATGCAGTACAAATGTGGATGTGTAATTATTCGATTTTGTCAAGGTGAATTATTAAAGGGGATGTCCCTGATCCTATGACCCTATGGCAATTTTTATATTTAGATCTCCAGACATATAGGTGAATGGTTGAGTGAGCTTAACGCAACATTTAAATTGTTTCTTACTCTTTATTGGTTACAGGTCAAGACACATGCCACTGCTTGAACCCGACCCAGTGCGGTACCTTCCGGGAACAGGGATGCTCCCCTTGTCAGACTCCTTGGTGGGGACCCTACTGTCAAGCGCGTAAGCTAAAGAGGCAGACTTTTATTTCACCAACTCTATTTATACCGATACCTTTTCTACATAGGAAATTACGTCTTTATGTCGAAAATTACATCACCTTTTTTCTATGAAAAGACACTATTGTAAATGAAAGCGACAAAACCCCTACCATATTCATAAGAAATTTCTGCCACAAGCAGCGCCAATTGTACTATCAGTACTAATTCAGACTATCTCATAAGCATGTATTTATGAATCACTATCAAGTGGTGAGGGTACCAGGTGTTCGCGAAAAAGGTGAGCAAAACACGGGAACACATGGTACAAATCAAACTAGGGAACTGCATCGGACGATTTTTTTGGGTCAAATTTGGAAATGTACCCCACATGTGGAGGGGGTAAATTGACAAACTACCCTTTAATGATAAATACCCTGGCCCCATTCAACTTTAAAAAGTTCTGTTTTCTCCTAACATAGATTTTAGTACTGTATGCATCTATGTATACATACATTTCATCTATATTATGTGTTCCAAATTAAACTATTTGTACATTTGTGAATGAGACGCAAACAAATTGAACAAGCAATGGGGTTGACAAAAACAAATTAACTTCATGTATTTTATAGTCATTTATGAGTACCTTTACTGGTTAAACAGACTTGATTTGACAACATTGATAACCAAAATGTGACAGTTTGACTCAAGTGTTTATAGTATTTAATCAGTAATATTTGCTTGTTATAATTTCATATATAATTAGATATGATATATTTGACCGAGGAAATACCATTCGAATACCTTCATTGTGAAATGTTGATATATACTGAACAGCATTGAAAACGCACCAGCAGTCAATCTTGAAATATTACAAAAACAGCTTGAGCAATGACCGATTTTAATTAGAACAGACATAGACGGATTATTAAGAAAGACGACAAAGGAAACAGTAATACCACACAGTAATTACATTTACGTCATCAGTGTGAGGAAGACACATAGGGTTAAAATGAAAAGTCAATATCTGGTATGTCCGCCATTGGCAGCAACACAGGCCATGCAACGTCTTCTCATTGATCGAATAAGTCTGCGAATAGTGTTCTGGGTGCTGATGAAAGAATGGGATGACGTGATTTGCCAATTTGTTATTCCTGTAGTAAAGGGCATTAACTCTTCCACGACAAACATGGAGCTCTGTTCGATGGTTATGACTGATGCCGCCCCACACCTTGACATCCCCCCCCCCCCCCCCCCCATCGATCTGTTTGTACAACGCAGTCATTGTGGTAACGTTCTCCACGTCGACGCCACACTCGCAGTCGACCGTCAGCATTCCGTAAATGAAAACGGTACTCATCAGAGAACAGCACACCATGCCACTGCCGCAATCTCCAATGACGATGCCTTTTGGCCCAACGCAGACGTTCATTTCGATGTCGATCAGTGAGTATGGGTCCAACATATGGACGTCGAGCACGTAGCCCTGCTGAGCGGAGACGTCGACGTACGGTGTCAGCGCTGATCAACCCCGTCGGCCTTGTACGGTTGCTGCAGTCCTGGTAGCCGGAAGTGTACGATCACGAAGATGCCGATGAACAATATGGCGATCCTGACGTGGTGTAGTGACACGTCGTTGACCCGGACGTCGTCGATCACTGGTGGTTCTTGTCTGCTGGTATCTGCTCAGTAGCCTGAGGACTGTTGAATGATGGCATTGAAACCGTTGTGTAACGACTCTACTTGACGTACCAACTTGAAGCATGCCCAAGGCACGTTCACGTTCCTCTGCTGTTAATCTTGGCATTTCTTGTGTCAGTACCCTTTACGTCTGCAGCAACAAGTGATGTGGTTTTTAAAAGTCTGTCTTTTATAGCCCTATTCTGCATGCTTCTCGTGAAACAAAAAACGTTTTCCATGATATGCACGCAATTTGTTGCGTTTTGGCGATTTCGCTCACAAAAAAAATAGGAATGTGTTTTGACGAGCTGTTCTTCTTCATGCTCCGTCCAGAACGTCGTATATTACTCATTCACTTATATATTTTCATATGACATAAGCCCGGATAAAAAATACATCCATTTTCATGGTGGTGCGTTTTCAATGCTGTTCAGTATATATCCAAAATGACACTGTGATATTTCTGTAATGGAACATTATAATTCCACTGAGTATTATAATATGAGGTTACAGGAAAATATGTTTTTGTAGATGAATAACGCCATACCTTCATTTCAATACAGTCTGATATCAGGCAATGTTATGAGTTTAACATAAAATAAAATTCTGTTTCCAGAAAATGTAGCTTACTCCCAAACCACCCAACAGAAAGGAGTGTACGTTGAGTATGATGCTTTGGGAAACTTAGTCAGTTCCGCCGGCGGTTACCTTGCCGTAGATGGAAGGGCGACACCGAGTGAAAGAAGAACTTGTTCTCGGACATTACGATACACTTCCGGAACATATTTCACAGTATTACTACCTTCAACACCCCGGATAGCTGGCATTAGAGCATATTTTCCTACCACAGGTAGCTATTATTCGAGCGAAGGACTTTACAGTTCTCCGTGATTGTATTTTTCTCTTAATTTGTCATTTTTCAGAATGTTTCTTTGCATATGATTCGAGGGGGTGAGAATGAGGGTTCAATATTATTATATTGCGACGTGCATGCACGTGTGTGTTTATATGTACGTGTGTGTTTGAGTGTCCGTGTTTGTCTAGCCCGGACGTATGCCGGTTTTATAGTGCTAACCCGCTGAGATACATTTAAACGTGGATGCCAAACTAACACGGTCCATGTATACTGACTTGCCATGTAGAAGATTTAGGTTCGATTACCAAAATGGTTACTATGTGAGAAACATAAGTACTGCGATGTTATATGGTTGGGATGTTGCTAAAAGTAGAATTGGAATGTCCTTTTTTTTCTTTCTTTTTTCTTCACCGGGAGACTCACTGGAAGGTCTTCAAATCCTTGTCGATGACGATGTGTGTTACACCTCCACCACAGCCACGTTGCCAGTTGACATACCGTGTTCTTCAACACTGGTAGGGAGGAACATCACCCTGTACCTGCCTCGTGATAGATATATATCAGTTTGTGAGATAGAGATCAACGGTAAGTGGAAACAAAATACTTTTCCTTTTCAATATGTATCTCGCCAAAGTTGAAATAAAGTTTGGTTGTAAGAATATAAGACTAATTCAGAGCGTTTTTGGTGACATGAAGTCAGCATCCAGGATTCCAAATCAGAATTGGTCTAGCGTAGCCATGCTTGTCGTATGAGACAAATAATTTGGATCGCTTTATGCTGAGTATGGTACAACAGCTTTGGCACCTTTCAGCTGCGTTAAGATTGGTTGAGTAGTATTGTGTCCCGATGGCGTGAGGTTTGTTTTTTAGAGGTTGGTTTAGACCTGCTATGATTATGTTCCGCAAGGGATAACGTTTTAATTGTGTCTTCAGTAGCGTATCACCCAGATTCACACACTTAAACCATGTGTTCACTAACAGTGTGCGGAGATGGTTGGTATGGTATCCAGTGCGAGAAGCGATGCACATGCAAGGCGAGTGACCCTGTATGTAACCCGATCAATGGTGCTTGTCCTTCTGGATGTCCAGATGGCTATGGTGACGTGGATTGTAAAGGTAAGGGGCAACTTGGGTTGACTAAGAACGAAATAACTGTGGTTGTCATAAGGAAGAGAAATTATGGAAGTCAACATGTTTATTATGAGGAACACAACGTTTCGGAGTAAAAGTACCCGATGAAGGAGTTTGTTTGCAATTGTTTGTTTGTTTGTTTGTTTGTTTGTTTGTTTGTTTGCTTGTTTAACGCCGCACACAGAAATATTCCAGCTATATGACGGCGGTCTGTAAATAATCGAGTCTGGACCAGACAATCCAGTGATTGACATCATGAGCATCGATCCACGCAATTGGGATACAATGCCATGTATCAAACAAGTCAGCGAGCCTGACCACCCGATCCTGTTAGTCGCCTCTTACGACAAGCATAGTCGCCTTTTACGGGTTGCTGAAGACTAGTTCTAACCCGGATCTTCACGGTTATGATAACGGAGTAAGCAAATACTCCGAAACGCTGTGTTCCTCATAATAAAGAAGTTGACATCCATAATTATCTTTCTTATGTTTATCACTTCTAAATGCCTTTCAAAGACTTGTGGTTGCCGTGTGGCCGTTGTAAAGCTAAAACACTAGAATTAATTGTACATGTACATATGTTAATGGTAAAACTCAATTTAGCATATCTTGGCGATATAGTTATTACGTAAAACACAAAGAATTGACATTAGTAAGTACGACTGCAACTGATGACAGTAATCATATAGTGATTGTGTAGGTAAAGGATTGGTTGAACGCGAGATAATGACAGTTATCACATGGTGACTGTAAAGGTAAAGGATTGGTTGAACGCGAGATAATGACAGTTATCATATGGTGACTGTGAAGGTAAAGGATTGGTTGAAGGCGAGATAATGACAGTTATCATATGGTGACTGTGAAGGTAAAGGATTGGTTGAACGCGAGATAATGACAGTTATCATATGGTGACTGTGAAGGTAAAGGGCTAGAATTGGTTGACTGTGAAGGTAAAGGATTTGTCGAACATAGGATAATGACAGTTATCATATGGTGGCTGTGAAGGTAAAGGGCTAGAATTGGTTGACTTCGAAGGTAAAGGATTAGTTGAACATGGTATAATGATAGTTATCATATGGTGGCTGTGAAGGTAAAGGATTAGTCGAACATAGGATAATGACAGTTATCATATGGTGGCTGTGAAGGTAAAGGGCTAGAATTGGTTGACTTCGAAGGTAAAGGATTAGTTGAACATGGGATAATGACAGTTATCTTATGGTGACTGTGAAGGTAAAGGATTAGTCGAACATAGGATAATGACAGTTATCATATGGTGGCTGTGAAGGTAAAGGGCTCGAATTGGTTGACTTCGAAGGTAAAGGATTAGTTGAACATGGGATAATGACAGTTATCTTATAGTGACTATGAAGGTAAAGGATTAGTCGAACATAGGATAATGACAGTTATCATATTGTGGCTGTGAAGGTAAAGGGCTAGAATTGGTTGACTTCGAAGGTAAAGGATTAGTTGAACATGGTATAATGACAGTTATCTTATGGTGACTGTGAAGGTAAAGGATTAGTTGAACATGGTATAATGACAGTTATCTTATGGTGACTGTGAAGGTAAAGGATTGGTTCAATGCAAAATAATGACAAGTACAACAATACGGAGACCTTCAAGTTCAATGATATGCTTAAATTAGGATTAGGATTGTTGAACGTTATCACCTCTGCTATGACGAAATACTACACGGTAATATAACCTTTGAACCAAAGCCATTACACGGGAACCCTTTCAACTGTTGCCGACAGGACGATTCCATAAAGGGTATATATATCAAAAGCTTAACGCACGCTGTAGAAATGATACAGCATTAAAGTATTTTAATACGAAAGAAGTATTTTTATCTTAACTACATTGTGACATACCATGAATCTATAATGAACAAATAATTGATTTTCATGTGTTTATGATTATGGTTATGATTTAGTATGTGCCGACGGCCGTTACGGCATCAACTGCTCCGCTGTATGTGGCAACTGTTTGAACGGGGTTGTGTGCGATAAGACGACAGGAGAGTGTCCAAATGGCTGCGCTGGGGGATTCTTCACGCCGAAGTGCAATACACGTATGTATACCTTGTCGCTGTGCATGGACATTGTATCCTTCCACATGTCACGACGTGGCATCTGATAGTAGCATTCGTGCTCGTAGTTCGGTATGTTGGAGATACAATGTTAGGATATTTCATTACAAAATACAAACTTGAACACAGCTATGTACGTGTATTTCTGTATTCACTTATGACATCCATAACTGGCTTAAATTTGACATATTCCTAATAAATGCCATAATTAATATTAAAAATTGGTTTAAAATACGGAGTGCGTTTTCATGGGAATCGCAGGTTTCTTTATGGTGATATTGGCTGAAAGGATCTGATTTAAAAAGTTAAGCCCATGTCTGATCATGGCTTGTTATCTGTATACATTGTATAAGCCTGGGGCAAAAAATTCATGTACACGATTTTGGTTTGTTTGTTGTATTACGCCGCACTCAGCAATATTCCAGCTATATGACGGCGGTCTGTAAATAATCGAGTCTGTCATGTACAAGAAAAACGTGGCCCGTGAAGAATAGGTCTTCATCAACCCATGCTTGCCGTAAAAGGCGACTATGCTTGTCGTAACAGAAGACAAACGGGATCTGGTGGTCAGGCTCGCTGACTTGGTTGATACATGTCATCGATCCCGTTGCGTGGATCGATGCCCATGATGTCAATCACTGGATTGACTGTTACAGACTCGATTATTTACAGACCGCCGTCATATAGCTGGAATATTGCTGAGCGCGGCGTTAAACAACAAACAAAGAAGAAAAAGTTAACCCGAGATAAATCACTACTTTTTATGAGACATCTCTTTCATCTCAAAATTCTTCCAACAATTCTTCATTCATCACAAACATGACGCAATCCATAATTTGAAAGACACTCTCCTTTCAGAATGTAGTGATGGGAGATTTGGATCTCAATGCGCTTCAGTGTGTGGGTCGTGTCGGAACAAGCAGCCTTGTGACAAGCAGACAGGAGCATGTCCAAATGGGTGTGCACCGGGCTTTTCCGGAACGATGTGTTCAACACGTAAATATACAGTAAAACTATTTATTTTCTGATGTACTGACTGCATTGCCTGGTCTATATTCTTTACACATGAAACACAGAAGAAAGGCTGATGATGAGTTTATGTCATGAAACGACGCATGTAATGTTCGAGCCTACCACATATGTTACCTGTGATCTCTACTTTGGACAACCACAACAAGAGAGACTACATAAACTGAGGTTATCGGGCACTAGGCACACTTGTCTATGGCTATCTTATTTAATCCAGGCACCTATTGTAGACACCATACATTTTAATTATGTAATTATGTATTACCACACTCAATAATTCGGGGCTTTATATGTCTTGGTTTATGAATTATGGATTTCATTTTTAAATATCTCGACAAAAAAATCTTTTGAATTACGTCATGAAAAAAATAGATGGATTAAGAATACAGAAATCTTAACCTACAGACATTTTGTTCAGAAATAACTTAAATTTGATTTGTTTTGTTTTGTGTTTCGATCACTTACATTATGCAGTATTGGGGAAAATAATCTGTAAATCAACTTTTAACTTAAAAACGGGAAAGGGGCCCTTGTCGTCTTATGCTCCGGAATTCGCTGTGGAGAGTTACCTGTCTTAGACATGGCAAAGACCTATGGCCATCGGCTCCAATTCATTATATTTCTTGGTTTGACAGTTATAAACGCCTGAGTCCGCCTCCGTGGTCTAGTGGTAGAGTGTCCGCCCGGAGAGCTGAAGGTTCGGGGTTCGATCGCCGGCCGCGTCATACCAAAAGACGTTAAAAATTGTACTTTTTGTTACCTTGTCTGGCGCTCGGCATTAAGGGGCTAAAACAAGGACTGGTCGGCTCGGAGTCAGTATACTGTGTCTGAGTGGGGTATTCATGTTAAACTGCGGCATGGTATCTCATCAGTGAACTAGCTCTATAAATCGGCATCAGTCCGGACTAGTACAAGCAGCCATACACACACACAAATATATAAGTGCAATAATCTTGGACGCGACGTTAAACCCCATTTCACCTCACCTATAAACGCCTGATATATGCATTACGTCGGGGTCTCACCCAACATCAAGCTGACACACCGTCATATAACTGAAATACTGTTTTAAGGCGGCGTCAAACCAACTCACTCAACCCAAACCTGAATTATGTGCTATTATGTTGGGCATACTACGATCTTAAACGTAATACTTGATAATTTAGGTTTTGTGTGTTTAGCTTGCAATGCCGGGACGTATGGTACCAGTTGCCAGTTTGCTTGTGGACGGTGTCGCAACGGGGACATATGTGACACGGTGTCTGGGATGTGTTTCCAGGGTTGTGAAGCTGGTTGGACGGGCGTGACGTGCAATACAGGTAAGCGTTCTAGATCTGCGATTGTACTATCTTTGGGACTTAGGGACCGCCCATTTCATATTCTCTTCTGGTGGAGAAAAAAAGGGGTTAGGTGTTGCTTGTTGTGGGTGATGTTTTGTTGCAAACGAATATTTTTCCGGTCACTCCTTAAAGACACACAATTTTTTCTTTAAAAAGATGAGACTTTAATTTTCACAAAACAACATTTCATGGCAAGATCCGGGGTAGAATAGGTCTTCAGCAACCCATGCTTGCCCTTAAAGGCGACTATGCTTGTCGTAAGATCATACCGGGACTAAGGGGATCGGGTGGTCAGGCTCGCTGACTGGTTGATGCATGTCATCGATCCCAAGAGCACGGATCGATGCTCATGATATTAACCACTGGATTGTCTTGTCCAGACTCGAATATTTACAGACCGCCGTCATATAGCTGGAATATTTCTGAGTGCGGCGTTAAACAACAAACAAACAAACATTTATTTCCCGAAATATTCGAGGCCAAGTCATTTTCTGGTACAAAACAAACATGCACCCCACCCCATCCCATGGAATTTCAAATGGCCGTTTATGTATGCTCCACATATGATGAAGCGTATATGCACAAGTTAAAAGCACGACTTTATAAACGATATTGGTTTTGTCTTTGGGGTGACAGGAACATATACCGTGATGACCAATGTTAAATATGTAATAAAGATGGTGCATACTGGTACTATTTTACATGAAGAGGTATGTGACATTGTCCCTGACGTTTGATATGTGATGGCAAGCCATGGATACCGATATCATTATAACCTGTGAAGCAATTTTAGGAGTGAGTGAGTATGGTTTTTACGCCGCTATTAGAAATATTCGAGCAATATCACGGCGGGGGACACCGAAAAATGGGCTTCACACATTGTACGCATGTTGGGAATCGAACCCGGGTCTTCGTCGTGACGAGCCAGCGCTTTACCCACTAGGCTACCCGACCGAACCTAATGTTAGGAGATCTAGAGAGACGTGCATGCAGAAAGTAATTGATCATGACGCCGCTTTGGAAAGCTTTTGGAAGAGGAAAGCCTGAAGTGATACAGATTTTAGATATTTACCACTTTGTGAAACCCACGTACACAGATATGGTGCTGATAGTACTTGAACCACAATAAGGGCAAATCTGGCACTCGGGCGTCTTTAAGAGGAACATTAATATCAATGTTAGAAAGGTGATGAAAGGGGGTCCAATTCGTTATGTTATTACCGATGCAAGGTAGTCTGTCGCCAGTTGTTGCACAACATTTCTCAATTGGAGTCGCAACAAAAGTCGCAACACTGATAACACATGCATGTCTAATACGATATACCTTAATATTTAACATAGAAATAGACACGGGGCCTTTTGTCCTCTCTTATACCTGTAATGTGAAGTTAATCGCGATGTATGATTCGTAAAGTCCACAATCAAGCAATGATCGTTTTAAAAAAAAGTCATTTATTGCGTAAAATTCACATATACGTGTATATGTACACTACTGCCTAGAAGTTCATTCCCCTTACACGCATGGGCAACGCGTTACGCAACCCGTTTGCACCCCGTTGGTCACTCGCGTGGAACCCGCCCGCCACGCGTGTGATACCCGTGTGCAACGCGTTGAACACGGGTGTGCACCCCGTTCGTCACTCGTGTGCAACGCGTGTCACACTCATTAGAGGGGGAACAAACTTTTGACCAAAGGAGGACCCATGTTTAGCTCAACCTGGAGTCGGTAACAAGGAGATAACCTTTTGATTTCCTGACGAAAATTCACATATACGTGTATATGTACGTTCACAAACATGGTATTAACGAGCTTGAATTGTGTTGCTCTGGTATTTCCGTATATCTGCATTTCCCAGGTGATCCTACATATCGATTCCTAACGTCGAGGTCTTTCATCAGTGAATATTGTTTTTATTCTCTTACTAGAATGTGGACTGGGGACGTTTGGACAGGATTGTGTCCAGAACTGTGGACACTGTAAAGTGAACACTGTGTGTAACACTGCCAGCGGCTTCTGTCCAGACGGATGCAGTCCCGGGTATGCAGGGGCCATTTGTCAAACAGGTACCACCTAAAATGTTTGACTAGCTGGGGAAGGGTTGGCGAATGAAGCGTATGAGTGCCGATGTCTACTTACATTACAGTGTGAGCCAGCGCACGTTGACATGTGTGTGTGTGTGTGTGCGTGCGTGCGTGCGTGCGTGCGTGCGTGCGTGCGTGCGTGCGTGCGTGTGTGTGTGTGTGAATGTGTGTGTGGTTTAACGCCGATTTTAACAGTATTACAGTTATATCACGGCGTGTCAGCTTAATGTGGGAGGAAAGCCCGAAGTGATGCAGGTCTTAGACGTTTACCACTTAGGTGAAACCCACGATCACGGGTATGGTGCTGACAAACCTAGAAACATAATCGGGGTGAACCGGGATTCGAACCCACAATCATAGGTTTCTGGCGTGTCCAAGGGCGAATCGCGGCGCCTTAGACGACTGGGCCACCCGTGCCCCCACCCCTGCTTGAAGACACACACAATCTCTTCGGCGCACAGATTCACTTTAGGTGTGTATGCAAGTGTGTCTTCCACTCTATGTGGCCGTGGATGTATCAGTGATCCATGTTGTGTTTGTGTGTTTGTTGTTTAACGTGTGGCAGAAGCCTTTATATAATCGAGTCTGTACCAGACAATCCAATGATCGATATTGAGAGCAACAGTCTACGCCGTCGTGGTACGATGACATGTCATCAACAAAGTCACTCAGCCTGTCCACCCGATCCATTTTAGTCGCCTCTTACAACCAGCATAGGTTGCTGGGGACTAGTTCTAACCCGTAATCACCACATGGGTCCACGTTTTGTGTGTAGCGAAGACATATTCCCTTTATTTGGTATTCAAGTAAGTTATCCAATTTGCGTGTCTCAATGATCCGCGTTGTATGTATTGCGACGAGAAAGTCACTCAATGTGTGAGTGCCCCACACTGTGTGTAAGGCAATAGATTATCCATGTCATATGTAAATGCCGGGGTGGCACCACCTTATGTGTGCAAGTGAGTGATTCATTTTATGTGCTTATGCAAGTGAAATATCAACTCAATGAGTTAGGCAATGTAGGATCCACATATTTCCACACCACTCAGGTGTGTGTGTTATTCACTTTGTGTGTGTGTATGTGTGTGTCATTCACTTTGTGTGTGTGCGTGTGTGTATGTGTGTGTTATTCACTCTGTGTGTGTGTGTGTGTGTGTGTGTGTGTGTGTGTGTGTGTGTGTGTGTGTGTGTGTGTGTGTGTGTGTGTGTGTGTGTGTGTGTGTGTTTCACTTTGTGTGTGTGCCTCTGTGTGTGTATGTGTGTGTTATTCACTTTGTGTGTGTATGCCTTTGTGTTTTCATGTAAGGCAATTAGTAATCCATTGTCTGTATGTGATGTATCCTGTTTTCATGTGATTATGCACTTTGTGTAATGGTAAAAATGTTTCTCCGGCGAGTATGCATTTATCAAGATAAGCAAATAGACAACATTTTACCAAGTTTGACTCTTGACGCCAACGTTTTTCTAGTCGTGGATGGTCTAGTAAAGGCCATTTCCACATGTGTCTTAAGACGTGGACATGGTCATTACGTTTGTACATTGCGCAACAGAATGTCCATCCTTCACCTTCGGGATCAGCTGCAGCAACAGGTGCGGCCAATGTAAAAGTTCAACACCTTGCGACAAAATCACGGGCTTTTGTCCCAACGAATGTGAACCGGGCTACAAACTGCCGTCATGTCTATCAGGTATAGTAACTGTACATTTAGACTAACATTTAGTCTCTGACATCTTATATTACACAATATCCTTCTTGACTCCCTATGCTGATTTCAGATAGAGCTAGCTTGAGCTGGCTAGACTTGCTTTTGTATGCATTTCTAGATTATTATTTTTAATAAAATAAATATATTCCACGGTCATGGTGCAGGACTACTGTACATTCTCTTTCTGTCCGTCCGTCTACCACCATTGTGGAATCAATGTATATTTACTGGCGCATGTACATGTATATAAGTCATTAAACCAATAGCAACAAGACATCATAACGTGTAACCGTGATCAGTCACGTCAAGGAACCGCAGTATTGTAAACGTACATTTAACATTTCGATAGTAACCTTGTGAAATAAAGCGTTTCATGGTTCGATGAACATTTTCAAAATATCGATTTTCAAATTTCAAGGTTTTTAGAAAACAAGCTTTATTTTTTTAGGAGTAAGAGCATTTAGATGACACATTTATTATTTTGATTGAACAGTGGTTGCATGTCATTCAATAAATATATAATCCCCTCCTTCTAGCCTGTGATGATGGGAAGTACGGGGCAAACTGCGACTCCTCCTGTGGATCTTGTCGTGACGGCGCACCGTGTGATAAAGGAACTGGTCGTTGTCCCAACGGATGTGACCCTGGGAAAACTGGTGACCTATGTGTGGAAGGTAACAGTTTAGCTTCAATATATAAATCTAATCCTATGATCAAACGATGAGAAGGCATTAATCCCAGGTCCAATATTGCAGTTTTAGGTTGACGTGATCACCACATACATTCCTAGAGCTACCTTTGCTTAGACCCGTGAAGATCTGGGTTAGAATACACCTAGGTCTTCAGCAACCAATGCTTCTCTTAAGAGGCGACCATGTTTGTCGTAAGAGGCGACTAACGAGATCGGTTGGTCAAGCTCGCTGACTTAGTTGATGCATGTTATTGTATCCCAATTGCTTAGATCGATGATAATGAGGTCAAACACTGGATTGTCTGGTCCAGATTCGATTTTTACAGACCGTCGTCGTATAGTTAGAATATTGTTGAGTGCGGCGCTAAACAACAAACAATGTTAACAAAAACAAAACCTTTACTGAACAATTGTTCTTACAGTTCTTATAGTTTTAAAACAAGAATTTTGTTACTGCAATATCACACAAAGGATTCAAATATGTTCTACTAAAACATTCACATACGCATATTCATTGTTGACTTTCAAATTCGCGTTGGGGCAATACTAATCATGGGGTTTTAACCGATACAAATTACCACAAACAAATCACATCCAATACATTTCTATCAATTTTATGCTATTTTTGACAGAATTTTCTCATTATTCTTTTAGTTTCTATGTTTGACTTAATATTCATTATTTATGTATACAGTTACAATTATATATAATCTGCATAACATTTTTACGACGATTACCTGTTACCACATCTGGGGACACTAATGTTAACGTTAGTCACAAAAATAACATTTAAAAAGATATTATACAACAAAAATATAATAATAGTTTTAATATTTTCCCCATGCAGATTGCGCCGAGGGCACATACGGCTCTGGCTGTTCGTTCTCATGTGGACGGTGTCGCGGTTCCACGTGCGACCGGGTCGATGGTTCTTGTCCGTCCGGATGCCAAAACGGATACAACGGAACTCTTTGCGTGCAGAGTAGGACTTATTACCCTAGTTGACATTTGAGAGAAAACTGACTCTTTGATTTGAGAGCAAATATGTACTGTTTTCATATATTACACTGTTTTGTGATATGAAAAAGTTTATCATCCACAAATTCTACACTTTAGGTGATTCCCATGTAGCTAAACATTGTGCCTGAAAAACTAAGTTTTTGTTATGCAAAATACCAGTCAAATGAAAATGTGTTCATACAAATTAAGAGTGAAATAAGCATTATCCCAAGAAGGGCGTTGGGGTAGCTTGGTGAAGAAGGTTTCAGCTCGCCACGATGAAGACCAGGGTTCCATTGCCCACGTTTGTACCATTGTGTAACCATTCTCGGTGCCTCTGTCGCGATGCGGCTGGAGTATTACAACTAATACCGCTCATTTTTTCGAAATGAAGCATTCTTCAAGGTCACATACGCTGTCTGTTTCAGCTTGTCCAAAAGGCACCTATGGCTTTAGCTGTTTCAAGAGATGCGGTCAGTGCCTTAACCTGGACTCGTGTGACTTTGCAACTGGAGCGTGTCCAGCAGGTTGTCGACCCGGTTGGCAAGGCGCAAACTGCAGTCAAGGTAAAACGCATGAACATTTTCAAGGGTACAGCATCTATTTGGTCTTTGAAAGCAGGTTATTATAGGATTCAACGATACAATCCAAGAAGCAAGCACATAGAAAACTCAGTCGGGTGTTCAGCTGTGTTTCATAAGTTAATTCTAACTATTAGCACCTACTCTGATTACAAGTTAAAATTCAGTAGTTAGGTTACAGCAGGTGTAGTAGTTTGCCGTAGAATTGTATAGCTGTACCATGTGTCTATGGCTCATCGTACTTAACTAGCGGAGTCCTTATTCAATCAGAGGTTGGTGGGGTAGCCTAGTGGTTAAAGCAATCGATGTCCCATGTGTAAAACTGGTGTTCAAGCCATTATATTGCTGAAGTATTTCTGAAAGCGAAGTAAAATAATACTCATTCACTCACTCACTCACTCATATGTGACAAAGGTGCGTTTCGCTGCGGTAAAACATGTTCCATTATATATTTACGTTGATTGTCCTTGCATCAGTTCTCGGATATGACCCACCGCGTGTCTTTGGGGCAACATATCGTTCATGCTCCCCGTCATGTTATGTCAAATGGAGTCTACTTATCTATTTATTGTGCACTGGGCTTGGTTGTACATCGGTGACAAATCCTGACGTGATCGCATACCAGATACTCTTTCTTTCACACATCAGATAACTTTAAAACTGCCACATTTCTTAATGAATACCCCCTTTAAACTGTGCAGCCAGCCGAATACCTCATATGAATAATGTAACATGTATAAGTATTGACTATACTGACTCCATACAACTTGATGGTAAAGGTAATGTGAAATGTCAAGCGTTATACATTTTCAACAATGTTACGACATGAGCCTTAATTCAAGGTTTAAGGCTGTATATTATTCGTCTGAGTGCGTTCAATTCAATAGGTCTTCAAGTCCTATGCAAGTTCGATATGTAGCTAAACATTTACAAAGCTGTTCACGTCTTCCCCAGTGTGTACAGGTAGGACGTACGGCAGCAACTGCAACCTGCAGTGTGGCCACTGTAAGGATGATGACCTGTGCGACAAAGAAAATGGTCGCTGTCCAGAAGGTTGCAAGCCCGGCTTCCAATGGGAACAATGCAAACAAAGTAATCTTATGAGTTGTTGTTGTTGTTGTTGTTGTTAATTAAAAACAAATATTTTTTTTGAAATCGCCGAAGCTCTGTTTCTGGTAAAGCATCAAAACGTTGCACACGGACATGCTGGCATTCCCAGCAAGTTTGTTTCCACTTTCCACCACCTCATTTATCTGTTGTAGACGAACCGGTATATGTCCAAAAGTTTATAATTACTCGTAATTGCACAGTCATGATCTCATTTTCACACAATACACTATTAAAATGGTTAAGACCATTGCTGAAAATGGGCAACATATCATGGATCACAGTACCTCCTTCGGAAGGCAAATAGATCTCTTTCTTGTCATCATATGTAAGAGAGTAATGTAATTTGATAATGTGTTATTTACGACTGTGTACCACGTGCTATGTACGACTGACTTGGGATTTTCCATCATTCGTCATATAACTACTCTTGCAGAATGTGACCCGGGGAAATATGGATATGGTTGCAGCCTTGAATGTGGAATGTGCAAAGATGGAGTTGCGTGCGATAACGTGGACGGATCTTGCCCAGATGGATGCGCAACAGGGTGGAATGGTGTTAAGTGTGACACAGGTACGTCATGTCTATATTAACACAAATATTACACATATGCTTTACTGTTGCCCTTCGTAATGTTTGTTAGCATTTGTGACTTATTGAAGGTTGCTTTAATGGTTTACGTGGATCAATAATCCTCTAAACTGAAACTTTGTTTTGAAGCAAAATTGCATCTGTTTTCAGAGTGCCCCAATGGATACTTTGGTGACGCGTGCAGTCAATCCTGTGGCCGATGCAAGGACAATGCCCCTTGCAACAAAGCCACTGGATTGTGTTCTGTTTGTGACCCTGGCTGGACTTCAAACTATTGTAATATCAGTGAGTGTTCCGGTAGTGTGGGTGGGAGTACACAACATCAATGAGGGGACGATTGGCACATATTAAGGAAAAAGTTCGCATCTATGCCTACACATCCCCAAACATATACGAGGGGTGATTGATAACTTCTGACCTCACATAAGAAGACTTGACCTAAAGACATTAAGATTATATATTTTTCAACATAATCCCCTGCCACATTAATACATTTCTTGCCAAAGATTTTGGAGGGATTTTATCCCAGTTTTCTTGGCTGTCCAAAACATTCTCCACAGATGCTATGACGTCTTTTTCCGAGTCGAAATGGGTTCCGAATAAAGCAGACGTCATGTTTGGGAACATGATGGAAGTCTGGCGGAGCCAGGTCAGAAGAATAAGGTGTATGTTGAAGTAGTTCGAAGCCACACTCGCGGCTTGTATCCATGGCAATGACTGATTTGTGCACTGGCGCATTGTCCTTAAAGGAGGTGCACACCTTTTATCAGCTTCCCACACCTCTAGTCTTAATTCCATCCCGTAATTGTCTCAAACATGTAGCATAATATGTTCTGTTTATGGTCTGGCCTTTTGAGTAATACCCCACCATTATGACCATGTCCGAGTCGGCATGATAAGATGTCAGAAGCTTTGGAACTCAACGAGCTGATACTTTCTTCATAATATCCAAAACAACTCTGCTAGAAAGCAGTTTGGAAATATGGTCATGTGCCCTTCATAGCAATAGATTAGGAATAAAATATTTGTTTCAGAAAGAAACATTTATATCACTTTCATAAATTTGAGTGAGTGAGTGAGTTGGGTTTTACACCGCTTTTAACAGTATTCCAGTTATACCACGGATCGTCAGCTTAATGTGGGAGGAAAGCCCGAAGTGATGCAGGTCTCAGACGTTTATCACTTCGGTGAAACCCACGAGCACAGGTATGGTGTTGACAAACCTAGAAACATCATCAGGGCGAACCGGGATTCGAACCCACAATCATAGGTTTCTGGCGTGCCCAAGGGACGCAACTCTGCACAGCGAATCGCGGCACCCGTGCCCCCTCATAAATTTGAAGGTATCCAACTTGAATGCCTTTTCTGCACAGAAGACTGTTTAAAAATGAGATAGTTTGTGAAGAGGTTAATTTGCTGTCACGGAATAAAACAATTTACAATGTACATTATAACAGCTATTATAAAGCTATTGACATTTGATTACATTTGGAATGTGCATCGACGATCCGTGTATTTAGCAAATGTGTTTCAGTCAAATAGAACACACAAAGAAAACAACTTTGCTTAATCGTTAACATTTAGCTATTTGTGTGTGGTTGCATGACTGTATGCAATTGTTCAGTCTGGTTCACGTTTATGGCGATGAGTGAACTCATTATGAGTCCAACTCGTTTCAAACTATGTCAATGTCAAATTCGTTTATATTCCAGAATGCCCAAACGGAACATTTGGTGACGCATGTGTTTCTCCATGTGGTGCCTGTAAGGATGCTGCTGTCTGTCACCACGTGACGGGGGATTGCCCAGACACATGCGAAGCCGGTTGGCAAGGCACAAACTGCATGAAGGGTAAGTGTTTGTACGGAAATGGTAGTTTAGAAATAAACCTTAAGTGTTTTCAAATTTGCGGTAGTCATTGCGTATACGATGCCTGGAAATTTCATTTGGAACCGACCGTGTTAGCATAACTTTTATCGACATTGTAAACTAAACATGCTATCAGCATTTTTCCGCAGCACACTCTCCCTTTCTCTGAGAGAACTCCCATCGTTGCTTGAATAACATTACGTCATGATACAATGGATGGCGTCATATGTTTCCGTGATAACTGAACCCGCCTGGCTAGCCGTATATTGAAAATAACAGCTAAATCGAAGTTGTTCTGATGAACATTGATGAAACCCTTATATTAAATTAATCTGGTATCCAATATATCAAGCAGAATGACACCTTTTTTTATTTCATTTGGGGTTGTGGGGTAAAAATATATTTAGCAGTAGGAGTATTCATACGCAGTTTAAAGTTAGACAGATTCCCGGGATCCGATCCCTTTTGACAATTTTATCAAACAATCAAATTACACCACAACTGGCATTTATTTGATAATGCTGTACAGCCCATAAACACACGTTATGAGGACATTCCAGACAATGTGTTTTCTGCCTAAGTATTTAGGCTCTTCTATTACCATACGAGAAGAGATCGTATCCCAACTCAGAATAAGGAAGAAAATTATTACGTACATACTTTTTGTGACCAAAATCTCAACGAAATTAGCATTTAAAATGACAGTCATACAGAGTCCGATGACAGATGCCCGAATTGAGGTAGGGAGCAAAAACAAGCTTTAAACGTAATAGTCAAAGGGCACACACATCTAAAAATCGTTCATGTGCAATGACACGTCACATTAATAACATGTAGGACCACCGCCTGCTTGAAGACACACACAATCTCTCCGGCACACAGAAAAAATCAGTCGTCTGATGTCGTTGCGTGGGATGTATCGCCATTCATCTTGGAGGGCCTGGTCAGTTCTTGTCGTTTGGCTGGAGTATGTTTTCGCTATCGAACACGGCGATCAATGGCACCTCAGAGGTGTTTTATGAGTGACATGTCTTAGGAGCGTGCGGGCCATGGCAACACGTTGACTTTGTTGGCTGCAAGGAAGTTGTTTAAGATTCGGGCTGTCTGGGGTCTGTCATGCTGATAATGGACACCACGTGGTAGCTGCTGTTGAAGTGCCAGGACAATCGGACGAAGAATGTCACCCATGTTACGCTGAGCTGTCAAATGTACGTTACCGACGACCAGTGGTGTTCTCTCCTGTCAACAAATTCCTCCCCACACCATAACACCCCTCCACCATACGGCACGACCTCCCGAACGCAACATGCCGCCGTATGTCATCCCCTTCTGCGATAAACAGGTTGTTATCAGCTCTGAACAGACAGAACCGGCTTTCTTTAGCGAAGACGACCCTCTGCCAGTCACATCGCTGCTAGCGACGTACAGTCCGGGCCCATCTCAATCTCTGACGATGATGTTGCGCTGTCAGTGCATAACTATCCTCTGTAAGGTCTGTAAACCCAAATTGCTTGAGGCACTGTCTGTCGACTAATTATCCACATGCCCTAGGGCATTCGTTGCTGAATCGATTCTGTAGATGTAAACTCCTCAAGTACCGGTTTTCATTGGGCATAGTTACCCTGGGTCTGCCTGTTCTTGGTCTGTCTGCTGTCTGCCCGGACTGTCTGTAACGTTGCATCAGGTTAGTTACAGGAACACTGGAGCAACCGAAAGCTCTAGCAATGTGGGAATGGGTGGCTACAATCTGTATCATACCCAGGGCCCGCTTGCGTTGTTCGGGTGTCAGTCGTGGCATTTCTGTGGTGTTTTGTGTTTGACATGCCGTCCGTATCATTCATACACCCTAAAACGTGCTGTGACCGGGTATACCTTTCTGCATAGAGCACTGCTGTGTTTGGATGATGTGTTTTGCATTGTTTTAGTATGACCCCCTTGAAAGGAGACCTCAGCTGTGACATTAAAGGTTTCGATCAATCTCCAATCAATAAGAAATATATTAGCTCTTTTAATGACATAGTTATTCTAACAAAAATGGTTATTTGAAGAAACCTGTTTCTGTACAAGTTTTAAACAGAAATGGTTGGGTTAATATTGCAAATGATAATTTACCACACAATATTTATTCGTGACTAAACCTATCCACACATTTAAATACAAGTATACCATATTCGACGTAATTAGCGCCCCGCTCTAATAAGCGCCCACGGCGATAATTGCTAATATATTTGCTATTGAACAATCCCAATTAGCACCCTTCCGATTTATCAATGTATACAAGACTTATTTATTCGCGTATAATACGCACTCGTGTGTTATATGCACCCTTAATTATGGGCAATTAAATTCTGGAAAAATATATCTGTCGTATATAACATTTCAGGCTGTCAGCATAAACCACGAAATTTATCTTTTAACTCTGTTTTTTTCAAGCAAAATAATATTCTAATAAAAGCCCCCTTTTTCTAATTTTGAGAGCGCTCTGGGCGCTTATTACGTCATATACGGTATTCTCAAACCAATGTTCACACAATCAGTAGGTAACATAATGCCTTATACACGTGCAGATATTATTGTAACCCAAGCTTTGTTCTGTTTCCCCAGCATGTGGTGACGGTACCTATGGTGAGAAGTGTCTACAAGCTTGTGGTCAGTGCAAGGAAGGGGCGACATGTAACAAGGTGACGGGGGATTGTGAGAATGGATGTGGACCTGGCTTTACAGGGATCCAGTGCAGAGAAAGTACGACATCCATCTTTACATGTTGTTACATCTCTTTCATCATGTTCCACATTGTGGTGAACCATTTTCATTGAAATCTAACAACTAACTGACGTAACTGGTTAGATTCTCGATATCCTTTGAAATGCAACTGAACACAGTCGGTCTGTCACGATATTGTTTGCCCTTTCTCAGTTGAATGTATAAAATGTATGCGTTTGTTACAGAAAACACAATTGCAAACTTCGCATTTGTTGCACAAGCATTTGTCAGAAGATTTTAAAGCACACATATATTGATATATGAACTCTCGTTTGCAGCATGTGATGCCGGGACGTTTGGTGACGAGTGTAAGTTGGTGTGTGGTCGTTGTGACAAAACCATCTGTAATTCGGTCACCGGCGCTTGTCTCCCTTGCCTGGCGGGATGGAAAGGTGATACGTGTGCAGAGGGTAAGAATTAGAAGATGAATCTACTGTTTTCAATGTAGAACTACGTGTAGGTTAAACGACGCTAAATTCAAATGAGAACCGTAGCGCGAGGCTTCAAATGTTTACGTTAGCGCGGTTTCAATGTGAGGTTATGTTATTATGATTTGAAACCTCAGAATGACCAATCAACATCGAGTATTTTCCAAATTTAATTGGATAATATCGTGTGTATATTAGTCATACTGGTATCAACTTAACGGGTACATGTGACCTACTCTACCACAGCACATTAAGAATTCAGTCACAATCTTACTGTTTCAACAAGTGATATCAAATTATCCTTTTTATCCAGAGTCGGATAATCACTATTTAAGCTGCTGAAATAGACAGCGAGAATAAAGCTCAATTGTAAACTTGTTACACACCTGAAAGGACACACTTGAATATTTAAGTCAACAGTCAACGGTAGGATAGCCTTGTGGTTTAAGTGTTCACTCATCACATCGAAAGACCGGGTTCGATACCACAAAGGTTCAATGTTCTGGTGTCCCCAGACGTCGTGACATTGCTTTTTATAGTAAAAACATACTAAATCCACGTCCAATCACACTTGAATGGAAATAAGTATATCACTGCTTGGTGACATCGTCCTGAATACCAAAGAGACGGTATTTTGTTTGTTTCAGAATGCGATGATGGCGAGCATGGCCCTAATTGTGCCGATCAATGTGGTGCGTGTCGGGATGCCGACCCCTGCAATAGGGCGTCCGGAGAATGCCCTAGTGGTTGCATGCCGGGGTTTACAGGACAAGCCTGTACTCAAAGTAGGTGCTTAAACGGGGTTATTATATGAGTGTGTTTTTTCGTGCTGATTTCATTGAACACGTGAACGAATCTTCCCGTAGTGGTGCTTGTGCTTCGTATGGATTTTTATCAATTTAACAACTTGGTAATCTTGAAGAATATGGATAATGATAACCTTTCTTACTAAACTAGTCGAGCCTTTTGCAAAGGCCTGGGATTTCCTTGTAAGCATAAATGCAGGGAGATTATGCTGTTAAACATTAGCTACCTGGGCAGGCTCGATTCAAGGTGTTCAAACGACTTTCTTTTTTCTTTAAACTCAAATGTTATTGTGTTTTATCAATAAAACAGTAAATAATAAATGATTAAACACCGACAATGTCTCAGCACCACGCAAATAAAAGCGACAAACCATTTAATGATTCCGACTCTATCATAGTCATATCTTTATGAATCACTACCAAATAGTGATGATACCAGGTGTTCGTGAGAAGGTGGGCGCATCCTGTCCCACCGGTACATAAACACATGCAAAGGCAAGTCAACTGTTGACTCGGCTAAAAATGGTCATCACACCGAAGAACATAAGTATAGACCCCGTTGCGTTAACGCTAAACGTCGAACCATTAACAAAAAACACCACAATATTATATCGTTATATCGTAAGATTAACTCACAGCCGGTCTGATTTTATCAGTAAACCCGTTCATATGGATATGAAATAAGCATAAATAAAGAGTTGCTGAAATGTCTTGCGCTAGAGTTGAGGAAAACTGAAATGTGTAAGCGTGGTATAAGCAGTTCATTAAAACGTAATGTGCTAATTTGTTTAACTGACTTAATTATTTTTGCTGCTCTCTTTCACCAAAGAATCTGTTTAAAACATTATATTTACTCACGGCTTTTGTTTGCCAAACCTACCTGTCTTCTTCATCCTCCTTGTCTCAGACGCCAATGGTGTCCATATATTCCTTTTAGAAACAATAACACGATATCTCTTGTAAATACTACAACGAATAGTTCTATATTCTTTATTTCGGTACTTGAATGTACCAACGGCACTTCGTACAATATTTCTTCCAAAGTGATTACAAGAATGATGCAGTTGGCATTACAATAAATACAGCGCCAGACAAAACAAAGTAACCACTTGCAAACTGGATTTGTCCAAACGTTATCAAAACGTTACAATGCTGAAAAAGGTCACCAACACACTACAAACTACGACAAACAAGGTTCAATACACATAACAACTGTGATACCTGTATCAAATATATCACAATCGAATAACTATTTCTTGTTTGTTTTATTTTAATGGGTGTATACTTTCTTATATTTTACATGGCTAGTACCTTATAAAAGAAGGGAGACAGTTCTATTGATATACAACCTCTTACTTACAACGAATGCAACGTTTCGGTGTAGATACTAACACCGTTATCAAGCAGGTTATGTACAGAAAAGGTCAGCTGACATTGACACTAGTAGTAGGACGATGCACCAATGCATCGGTTGATGGCGATTTTTTACTTCTCGATACAAGTATCGATCACAATCAAGCACAAAGTAAAAAGTATCGATTCTTACCTTAAATGTATTCTTCAGTAAATGTTACACCAAACACTAATTACTAGTCAAAATGAGTAGTGAAAACGTAAATATTTTCATCCATTGCGCCATACTTGACACTGCCAACTGTAAATCATCAGTGTGCCGGGTATTTGGCCATCCTGTCTATGAAAAACAGGGCTCACGCACCACAGACAAGAGCACATGCAAGTATCGTGATACGTATCAGTTCGTGAGCAAGGTATCGTGGAACGTATCGGACCGCACAGTTGGTGTATCGTCCAAGCCCTAATTGACACCACTTTCGATTTTACAGTTTAATTCACATTTTATTCCATTTAAGACAAATAACATGACACTTTATAATGCAGCATACATTTAACGCACTGGTGGAAATATTTATCAAGCGTTTGATGCGCACATATAATACCTCACTGTGCTTCTGAATACAAGCGCAACGTGTATGGTGTCAACAGGTTTGGCGTATTTATGAAACCTGGCAAGATATCCATTGATCTGTTTTTCTCAACATCTTCTTGTCTGCGGGCATCTTCTTCATTTCAGATTTTTACAGTAAAAGGCGACTATGCTTGCCGTAAAAGGCGACTATGCTTGCCGTAAAAGGCGACTATGCTTGCCGTAAAAGGCGACTATGCTTGTCGTAAGAGGCGACTAACGGGATCGGATGGTCAGGCTCGCTGACTTGGATGATGCATGTCATCGATCCCAATTGCGTGGATCGATGCTCATGATGTCAATCACTGGATTGTCTGGTCCAGACTCGATTATTTACAGACCACCGTCATATAACTGGAATATTGCTGAGTGCGACGTTAAACACCAAACAAACAAACAAATATAATCATTTCAGATTTACCATCAAACATCTGTGTACTCTTTCCTTTGCCCCATAGTTCAGTGTAAATTGTAGATCGTATTATTGAAGATTATTCCATCACCAACAGGGTGTTCTGAGGGCAGTTACGGAGACAGATGTGCTTCTAGGTGTGGTCGTTGTCAGGACAACGCCGCGTGTGACCATATCACTGGGGTTTGTGAAGAGGGATGCCAACCATCTTGGATCGGGGAAAGATGTGATAAAGGTAAAATTATCACAATATTCAGTTTTAGTATGCATTGGAGATCCTTTTTCTAGTATCTACACAGTATGCATAGTTTGAGGTGCAGTAGATAACAACAGTAATCTTACATGTTTATCAGCATCATGTATAGTATTATAACATTTCCCACACTATAAGATTGTCTAAGGGAAGGTCGAAATGGAAATAAGGTTTAGTTTCTTTAGCTGAAATATTTCATATCATTTGGGACGGTCTGTTTATTTGGAACGAATACGTGTATTCTGTTAAAATTTAAGATGTTCGCGGCACGATTTGCTGTCTATATACGTCGGACAGAAACTATGATTTGTAAATATAAAATGTCAATGCAAGAGAATAACCATTCTTGATTATGCGCTGAAACATAATCTTTTAGGTGCGAAGAGCAAAACAGCTGTTAAAATTAAAAATGCACTAGATGGGTTATTTATACTTACTTTTCATATATATATGAGCCGAGCCTTCAAGTTGCAATATGCTGTTTAAAAATATTCTGGCTTGAATGATCACCCGTTATGAACAAAGTCTTATTAAAAATTCCATTTTCAGTTACCTTTTTTTTTTTTTTTACAGAATGCGACATTGGTTACTATGGAGACGATTGTAACAACACGTGCGGTCTTTGTGCAGGAGCGGGAGGATGTGACAAAGTGACAGGGGCGTGTCCGTCACGGTGTCAGAAGGGATTCAAAGGTCTCCTCTGCAAACAACCCACAGGTAATCGTTTACATTAAACTTGCTTCCATAGCAGGACCCTACGTGAATATGCATAGTGGAATTATTTTGTGTTAGGGCGGTGGTGTAGTCTAGTGGTTAAGGCGTTCGCTCGTCACGCCAAAGGCCCTGGTTCGATTCCTCAAATGAGTACGATGATTGAAGCCCACTTCTGGTGTCCATCGGCGTGGTATTACTGGCATGTTTCTAAAAGCGGTGTGAAACAATACTCATCTCATCTTGTGTATCATTATTTACTGGGCTCAATTCGCCATGCAGTGGTACGTCCCTAGGTCGTGCTAATATGATTATCCGTTTTCAGCTTAACATGCGTCGTTTCCACTCACTCACTCACTCACTCACTCACTCACTCACTACGAGTGAACTTTAAGGGGTAAATAACTGGAGATGCTGTGACGGATGTCACCGGTTGGGCAGGACACGCTCACTTTTTCGCGAACACCTGGTTTTACTATTTGATAGTGATTCATAAACACATGCTCATGATACAGTGGGAATCGTACAATTAACTCTGCTTTTAGCAGAGATTCATTATGAATATGTAAAGGGTTTTGTCGCGTTTATATATAACCTCTATTCTACCGTGACCCGTGAAGATCCGGGATAGAATAAGTCTTCAGCAACCCATGCTTGCCGTAAAAGGCGAATATGTTTGTCGAAAGAGGCGACAAACGGGATCGGGTGGTCAGGCTCGCTGACTTGGTTGATGCATGTCATCGATCCCAATTGCGTGGGTCGATGCTCATGATGTCAATCATTGGATTGTCTGGTTCAGACTTGATTATGTTCAGGTCGCCGTCATATAGATGAAATATTGCTGATTGCGGCGATAAACATATTTCAGGCATCCTCAACCGTTCATTAGTTAGTGAGCTGTTGGTTTAATATTATTGCAACCATACGGCTGTGGACACCATGTGGATAATCAGAACAAGTCTTCCAACGACATACCCATAGAACTCAAGTGTGGAATCAAACCCGGGTGTTCGGCTTTACCAGCTACTCGGCTAATCCAACAACCCTCCTAACCAGTGATGAACACTTGTCAAAATATGGCAAGTAAGCGATGAAGCTGAGCGAGGCCTAACATAAGAACTATTTTCGTCTTGAATATAAAACAATTCATGCAAACCTCAATAATTATCAAATTGTTCTATATAAAACATTCCATTCCAGTCCCAGATCCACAGGAGGGAAATATGTCAACGACCCTAGCTGCCGTCTTCACTGTGCTGATCGCGATAGTGCTTATACTCTGTGTCGTCGCTGTTTGCTGTTACAGGTACTTTGAAGTTTCCTACCCTTTTCGCGAACACCTGGTGTCATAACTGATTTAAAGAGGCCCATTCATATAATTTCCACAGCTATTTGCCCTTTGCGCCAAATGGAATCTGTTTCGGCAGAAAATCTAGGCTGGTTATTCTCTTGCATTGACAGTTTATATTTAAAGATTAACTATATTCAATTGTTAAAATGAGGTGGCATCGTCCTTAATGTATCTAACGCTTCTTAAATTTTAAAGAGATGGATTTATTTTATTATGCTGCTGTTGTCATTGTCGTTAATGCCAGTGTTATTGTCGTGATTGCCTTTGTCATGATTATAATTACCATTGTCAGATATGTTTGTTATGATTGTCATTGTCGTGTATGTCATAGTCGTGAATGTCATTGTCATTGTTTCTGTCATGCTTATCATAGTCGTGATTGTCATTGGGATTGTCGTGATTGTCATTGGCATTGTCGTGAATGTCATTGGGATTGTCGTGAATGTCAGGTTAGTTTCCTACTGAAACATTTCATTACTCACCTTCCCGGCAGATTCTAACCTAAGACCTGAATATTGTTGTGTTGTTGTGTTGTTGTCGTCGTACACCTGCATCTTGTTTGTCATAGGAAAAGGAGGAACAGATCTAGCAGACACGCAAGCGATACGATCCTCGACCCGCTCGACGATGGAGATCCCTTCTCTCGAGGTAGGTCTGGAAGTGTGGCACTTTAGAAAAGCCAGTGCCATCAGGGTATACGAGTTCCTGTCCTAATATACTGAGCAGTTGAAAACGTAATGGGCAAGATGCTATTGCTACATTTAAATATTAATAACTGTTGTGGCACCAGATCAACTTGATAGAGAGAGAGAGGTCAATATCATGTATCGTCTTGTCAGTATTTGTTATTTACTCTTATATGTAAGTTTAGGTGTCGGTTGTTTTCTTGGGTCTTTTGTTTTGAGTGGTTGTGCTCTTTTATTTATTTTTTGTGTTCCTCTTTGTGGGGAGGGGTGCTGGGGGTGCTTTTTATGCCTCGACGGTAAGGAATATCTAAGCTCTATATCAGCGTCAAGTATATAATTTAGTAATTACCAGGTACAAAATGGTTGATGGTATGAGGAACTAGCCACGGCGTCTCTAATGTGTAGGGTTGGCGTGGGGTTCGTGGTAATGTGGATCACTTAGTTGATATCAAGATCCGAATAAACAGTCACTAGTGATAATATATTTCACTTTTTATTCTGCGTATTTTAACTTCACAGCTTCAAATGGCAAGGTTCCCATGGCGTTTCAAAACCAGATCTACAACACAGGTGAGTGTTCGGTGGAGCTGACTTTGGTTATCAAAATCAGCAATATTGTAAGAATTCGTTGTGTGTATGTGTGTGAAACGGGTGAGATCTGTTTAAATGATATTTTTTTAAAGGAACAAAAACTCTAAATCTAACTTTAAATCAATTCAAACTATCAATTCGCGAATTTATCAGTTGTGAAAAGATCACTTTTCTAAAAGAACGTCTTCACTCCTTTTAGAAATCATTAATGATACATCCTGTACCTTAAACCCAATTGTGTTGCCGCGTGAAGATTCTGAGTAAAAATAAGTTAATGAAAGAGATTTTTAATGACTGACATGCATTGTAATGATGATGATGATGATGATGATGATTGAGAGAGTGAGTGAGTTAAAATAACAAGACTTATCACAGATTTTATTAAAAAACTAGTATAGAACCATAAAAATATATCACCATACATAACAATAGATGATAAAAACGTTCTATAGATCGCCATCCACTGAAGGTAGATCATTATACTTAGGGACCATAGGGACTTACAGTACCTTTGCTACCTGCATGGATTTACACAGTCCCTTCAGTCGCTGGCGGTTGTACATAATTTTAGCCACAATTAAAATGACAAATATAATACGTTCAAAAGCGTAATAGACTTTAATATTCTTTGAATTACATGGACTTACGATATCATCCCAGGGGGACAATAATTGATGATGATGATGATGATGATGGATGATGATGATGATGATGATAGATGATGATGATGATGATGGATGATGAAGGATGATGATGGTGATAGATGATGATGATGATGATGATGTGATGATGGATGATGATGATGATGATGGATGATGAAGGATGATGATGGTGATAGATGATGATGATGATGATGATGTGATGATGGATGATGATGATGGTGATAGATGATGATGTGATGATGTGATGATGGATGATGAAGGATGATGATGGTGATAGATGATGATGATGATGATGATGATGATGATGATGATGATGGTGATAGATGATGATGATGATGGTGATAGATGATGATGATGATGATGGATGATGGATGATGATGATGATGATGATGGATGATGATGATGGATGATGAAGGATGATGATGATGATGGTGATGAAGATGATGATGGTGATAGATGATGATGATGATTGATGATGATGATGGTGATGGTGATAGATGATGATGATGATGATGATGGATGATGATGATGATGATGGATGATAATGATGGATGATGATGATGGATGGTGATGATGATGGATGATGGATGATGATGGATGATGATGATGGATGGTGATGATGATGGATGATGATGATGGATGATGGATGATGATGGATGATGATGATGATGGATGATGATTATGATGATGGATGATGATGGATGATGATGATGGATGGTGATGATGATGGATGATGGATGATGATGATGATGATGATGATGACTAGTTAAACATATCTGGATATTCCAGCCGGACGCGGGAGCGTGTTATCAATGGAGTCCGAGAACAGTAAACACCGCAGGGACCTCCTCTCCCAACTGGACACTGTGCCAGACACGGAGTCCTCGTCCCTCGGTTTCAACACCATGTCAACTACCTCGGTCATGTCAGCCTTGAACCCGTCTGCTGTTCAAGTACTCAATACAGATGAAGATGGACTAGACATGGAATCTATCAACTCAGAATTCAACTGGCCCAGCGATGACAATACTACAACAGCTTTCTCTGTGTACGAAATCAATGAACATGTTGAGTTGAAAATGGCGGCTGGCGGTTTTGAAAACGAATTTTCGGTATGTAAAGTACTGTTAGTATTTATTCACATCATAAGTAAATTGCATTGCAAAGAAAAAACATCTAAAACTACCTTTATTAATATTATCCACAGCTTCTGCCAAAGGGGCTGAGGAAGTCACACGCTATTGGTCTGCTTCCTGAAAACCAATCCAAAAACAGATTTCCAAGAGTCTTACCATGTAAGTACTACTCATTTCATATACTCACATTTGCAAGTAATGATCATCCACATCCATCCTCGTATGACGGGATATTATTTAGCTCAATGACATTACGAATAATACCCTGAACTATACAATTTACTTCAGATGAAATATTGCTTTACACTCTCACTTCCCCAATGCTAACAAATCTCACTTAACATACACGTTTGTCATCTACTGACATTTCTCGAATTTAACACAACTTAATCATGACGTTTTTATTCCAGACGATGACTGCATGGTTGTTTTATCACAAAGTCATGGTTCCGACAAATCAAGTTACATTAACGCCAGTCACATAGACGTGAGTGTTCTCAGATAGATACTTACACGTCCCTGTTTTGTACATGTGTAATGATTGATGAAAGATATTAATAGGATAAGAGCGTATATAAATGGAATAAAAACAAATAAAAAGTTGGTGTTTTTTTAAGAACAGATTTGACTCATATCTAACAAAGTGAATCCTGACCAATCACATTGCAGAGACAATGAGTATTTGGTAAGAGCAACCATAGTCTTATATACATGTATGTTAAAGAAATGAGAAACACGTACACCATGCTCAGCATTAATTCTCACTTGGTACGTCAACACGACGCCATATTGCAGTTTAGTTTGTGGTTAAATGTATTAACATGTAGAGTGTTGTTCACAGTGTATGTATTCTTTCAGGGATACATAATAATGGAAGAGTACATAGCTACACAAGGTAGGAAGGACACTGTTAGGGTTGTCTTGTGTCAGTAATCAGTGTGAACGCTTGTTTTCCCTTGAATACCTTTTCACTTGGTTTCCGGATCCGTGGCGCCTGAAAAGTGAAAAGTGGAAGAAAGAAACTGTTTTCATTCAAAACAATGCTAACCTGTCCAACACAAGACAATAACTGTGCACACAACACTTAAACTTCACGATCAAAGCGACAAACACCTTTGAACGTCGAAAAATATATAGATATTCGTTAATGAATAGGACACGCTCATGTTGGGTCCACATACCGAACAAGGATTGTTCATACAAAATTCAAAGAACCAACAAATGTAAGACAGCAATCGTAATGATCATATTTGACATATTATCGATAAAGTTCGTCCCATGTCTCAAATGATAATCTAGATAATAGAATTCGTTATGTGTATCGTTGTGTAATTGTTACTTTAAGACTGATCTTTTCATTAGGTCCTACGGAAGAAACTGTGAATGACTTTTGGAGAATGTTGTGGGAAAGGAATGTCTGCAAAGTGGTCATGTTGAGCAGGACCAAAGAGAATGGCAAGGTAGGCATTTTCTATAGTGATTTACAACGTGTCATGTCTTGCATTGTGATCTAGATACATGATAAAACGCCATCCCTGTCCAACAACTTAAATAAACATTTAAGAGATACTGAATGCGGGGTTTCAAAGGCCACATTTTAAGAAAATACGTTCCCGTTTTCATATTTTGTTAATGTATATGAATAGTGTTTCCATGATCCTGACTAAAATTCTACATCAATACTATTTGGATAGGCCACGATCTATTTGCTGGATACAAATATAAGAAATATTAATAATGTGATCCATAATTTAGAATTATGTGAAGAAAACGTGAACCGTCCTTCTTTGTTTAGATGATATACTTTCTTTTGTTTCAGGATAATGAGAAATATTTTATAATTCCTTGTTTGTTTGTTTAACGCACACAGACAAAGCGGTAATTGTCGGGGTGAACATCGATCCACGAATATTCTATTGTCGCCGTCGCATGGTAGTTTTCGTGTTGTGCAGCGTCCTTTTAATTGTTATGCAAATTGTGTGGGTGTCAACAGGTAGGGCAGAACATAATTACCCTTTTCGCAAACACCTAGCGTGATCACTTGTTTTCAGGGGCCCCATTCAGTTACTTGTATTTTGTCTTTTTCGGAATCTGTTTCGGCAGAAAATCAAGAAACATGTTTTTCGTTGACGTTTTACATTTCGATGAACGTACATTTCAGGTGAAATGTCAGAAGTACTGGCCAGACGTCAAAGATGGAAAGACGTACGGAAATCTCTCTGTGACGTGTATCAAGATGGTGACCCGAGCTCATTACACCGTCAGGGAGTTCTACGTCTACGACCACCAGGTAGGCACAGCCTCTGATACCGACAATGACATCACCTTGGATACTGACAATAACATCAATAGTAACGACCATCGGATATGTCAATCCTTTGATACTGACAATGACATCACCTGGTTTGTCAATCATTTGACACTGACAATGGAATTAATATCTACGACCATCGGGAATGTCAATCCTCTGATACTGACAATGGCATCACCTGGTTTGTCAATCATTTGACACTGACAATGGAATTAATTTCTACGACCATCGGGAATGTCAATCCTCTGATAATGACAATGACATCACCTGGTTTGTCAATCATTTGACACTGACAATGGAATTAATATCTACGACCATCGGATATGTCAAACCTTTGATACTGACAATGACATCACCGGGATTGTCAATCCTTTGATACCGACACTAACGTCAATATCTACGACCATTGAGTATGTCAATCCTTTGATACTGAAAATGACATCACCGGGTTTGTCAAATCTTTGATACCGACAATGACATCACTGAGTTTGTCAAACCTTTGATACTGACAATGGAATCAATATCTACGACAATCGGGTATGTCAATCCTTCAGTACTGACAGTGACATCATGGGGGTTTGTTAATCCTTTGATACCGATAATAACGTCAATATCTACGATTATCGGATATGTCAATCCCTTGATACCGACAATGACATCACTGAGTTTGTCAAACCTTTGATACTGACAATGGAATCAATATCTACGACAATCGGGTATGTCAATCTTTCAGTACTGACAGTGACATCACCGGGTTTGTTAATCCTTTGATACCGACAATAACGTCAATATCTACGACTATCGGATATTTCAATCCTTTGATACTGAAAATGACATCACCGGATGTGTCAATCCTTTGATACTGACAATGGAATCAATATCTACGACAATCGGAAATGTAAATCATTTGATGCTGACAATGAGATCAATTTCGACGACTGAAAGGTAAGAAGAACTTTCTCTGTCATGAGGGCATTGAGAGTAGAGGTTTCTAGGTCATTAACGCACGTTTCCATCCACGACGATAAATAATGGTATCATCACACCATACATAGTTACCTCTGTTTTTACCAAAAAAATTAACAAATCATATAACTGATATTCATTTGATTCTGTTCAAGGCTGCTGAGAAACGCGTGGTGACACAGTTTCAGTTCGTGTCCTGGCCAGCAAATGGTTTCCCTTCAACTCCTGCTCTTGTCGGTTTCATCAAACACGTGAACAAGCTAACCAGTCCCACCTGCCCCGTGGTTGTACATTGCAGGTAAGTGACAATATCCCTATGGCCGATATCTGACTGGTTCCGCGCATTTGTTACTCTGGACAACGTATTAATCACAAACAGAGACAAAATGATGACTGTTTATCCATAACTATCTTAACTTACAACACTTGTTCATATATTCGCCTCTGCTGTATTCAAGATATGCTGGTAGCATTTATTCAAGGCATCAGTAAATATTTCAAAAGGTTTTATGGTTGGCATGTGGAGGACATTTTCAAATTTGACGCATCAGTGTTTAAATTTGCCCAATGAAATTCTCTAGTTTGACTTGTACCTAATGTTTCCGTATTTGTTCATGTGATCACTTGACTTGGCTTTGCATTTGTGTTTGTAACGGGAGCGACCGGTCGGGCAAGATACGCTCATCTTTTCATGAGCACGTGGTATCATCACTATTTCATAGTGATTCATTAACACAGAGATGTCTATTTTTGCCACTATAATATAATTGTTAATAGGTGAGGTGAACTGGGGTTTAACGTTTATTATTGTACGTGTATAACAATCAGTACTTACCTTCACTCCTGTAGTTCTGGTGTCGGGCGAACAGGAACCTTCATTGCTATAAACGCCATGGCAGAGCAAGCCAGGACGGAATCGGAAGTGGATGTCTTTAAGTTTGTGTGCAGGATGAGGCTACACAGACCGGAAATGGTTCGAACCAGGGTATGTCACGAAACAATTAAAGAAATATGTCCGAACTGTAGAAATATGTTCAAATACAAGCCAGTTCCAAAACACACAAATCCACAAACACTTTGTAGAGTTGCGTCCCTTGGTCATGCGGGACATCTATTTTCGTGGGTGTTGGTGAGTGAGTGAGTGAGTGAGTATGGTTTTACGCCGCTTTTAGCAATATTCCAGCAATATCACGGCGGGGGACACCAGAAATGGGCTTCACACATTGTACCCATGTCGGGAATCGAACCTGGGACTTCGGCGTGACGAGAGAACGCTTGAACCACTAGGCTACCCGACCGCCCCCCGTGGGTGTTGGTAAGATAACGCAATATAATGACAGCGATTAACAACTGTGTAATCTGTGCTTCCAATACATACTTCATCCGGAAATATCAGCATCGGTAGAGAGGGGGGGGGGGGGGGGGGGAGGGGGGGTAGTGTTAATGTGTGTTTGCTGATTTTTTCCTGCTGGATTCGTGCCTTCTCATACATGTACCTTTGGCGTCGCGCTAAGGGAGAGCACTCGCCCAACACTCGGCGTACCGCTAAAGGTACTTATCACTAACGTTGGTTTGAATCCCAGATTCACCTTTAATAAACGCCTGCATCCCATTCCTCCTACATCAAGGTTGACACTCCTAGCAGCGTTAAACCGAATCACTCACCACCGTGTGAATTCTGTCTGTGCCCAGGTGCAGTATGCCGGTGTCCACCTGGCCCTCCAGGAGATGCTAGCCAGTAAGGACACTCTCCTCAGCAGCGTGGAGCTTATGGAGAAGTACCGAGCACAGTCTTTCCGATCTCTGGCAGACAGTAGTCGGCCACGGGCTGAGTACCAGGTAAACTAAACTTTGCTTCACTGTCTGGTGCTATTGTAGAGTTATAGTCAAGATACAGTGACCGATTATATCTGGTAATGGAAATAGTTAGAGACAAAATGTGCGTGCGTGCGTGCGTGCGTGTGTGTTCATTATAGTTTTCGGGGGAACACAAGACTGTTTCAAGACAATCGAATGTAAAATATAGCATAATAATATAAAGCCCAAATCCTACAATATATTACAAGGGAAAGTAATGGCTTCGTATTCGAACACCGAAAATGGTCTCTATGTTGAGACTGACATTTTGAAAATGTAGCAAGGTCATCAGCAGATTTTGCAAATGGTGATCACCTTATTTTCAGGTTCTAGAAAGTATGCGGCCAACTCTGCGTGAAGAAGATACTCAAATTGCCCGAAGACAAGATAACGTTGGGAAAAACAGATCAATGGATATCTTGCCAGGTATCTTTATTACACCAAACCTGTTAACACCACACACGTTGCTCTAGTATTCAGAAGCACAGTAAGGTATTATACGTGCGCATCAAAACGCTTGATAAATACTTCCAACAGTGCGTCACATTTATGATAAATAATGAGGCGTCATGTTATATATCTTTAATGGAATAAGATGAACGCGGCAGATTTGATGGCGATCTGTACCTATTTAGGGCAGGCTGATGGTAAATGGAGCTGTTTGGTGGTGAGGGGTTGAGGGTGGGGTTAAGGTCTAGTCTACGAGTCTGGCAGGGTAGCTGTATGTTATCAGGGTGTTCTGGCATGGAGCAGATGTTCTTGGCTTCAAACAAAGAACCTAGAAAGGAGACCTTTTCTGTACATCACTTGCTTGATAACGGTGTTGCATTCCTTGTAATAAAGAAATAACTGTTGTATATCCATAGAACTATCTTCCTTGTTTAACAAGGCACTCTACATGTAAAATATAATGCCGGGCAAAAGAAAAGAAATGGTAATTCGATGGTGATGTATTTGATACCAGTATCATAGTTGTGTATTGGACCTTAAGTTTACAGTGCTTCAGCCTAGTAACGTTTCGATAACGTTTGTAATTATTTGGTCAGTTCTATTTTTTAAGTGTTCACAAATTCTTTATCCGGCGGTAAATTTTTCTTAGCGACTTTAAACCGAACTTATTCGCTTTTCTAAAACTATATTCTATACGTCTTCAGTATTTTGATCAATCATGGTGACGCTATGTGGTCTTTATTTCAGGTGTTCTCCACCGTGTTGTTTTGAAAGGAACATCAGGAAACCAAAACCCTTACATCAACGCCGTGTATCTACCGGTAAGACGTAACAAGCTTATCACCAATACTTATATTGTTAACCTTACAATACAAGAGAGGTATGTTTTACACATTGAATTTATTTTTGACCATGACTTCAATAAGTGGGGGGCACGGGTGGCCCAGTCCTCTAAGGCGCTGCAATTCGCTCTGCAGAGTTGCGTCCCTTGGGCACGCCAGAAACCTATGATTGTGGGTTCGAATCCCGGTTCGCCACGATTACGTTTCTAGGTTTGTCAGCACCATACCTGTGCTCGTGGGTTTCACCGAAGTGGTAAACGTCTGAGACCTGCATCACTAATGTGTACAAACCCCTTATATACTTGATCACCAGTGGGAATTCCTGGTAAGAAGATACTTTCCCAGCTGCCTATGCTTGTAAGAGGCGACCAAATGGTTCGGATGGCTAGGCTCGGTCTTCACTGATTGCATGTCAACGTATCCCAATTGTTTGAGTCTATGCTCATGATGTGAAACACTGGATTGTCTGGTCCAGACTTCATTATATACAAACAACCCTCATATAACTGGGACTGTGTGAGGCGTTAAGTCTTTTAGAATGTTCTGCTTACTGCAGTTTTCGATTCAACCTCAAATGCAGCATCAGGAACAGACGGCTTATTCTTTATACGAATGACACTTGGCCTACACAAAAAGCAGTACTAGAATTTGTTGACAAAATCGTGGCTGCGGTTTTAATTGGTCTGTTAATTTCAATGTAATATACTATATTATCATTTTTAAGCAGTATAAATTCAAGTGAATACACCTCAGTGGGGCCAAAGTGCTACGACTACATATTTACAACTACGACTACGACTTCGACTACGACCTTATTTCTGCCTGGAGAGCGTAAGGTCGGTGGTTTGATCCCCGGCCGCGTCATATGAAAATAGTCATACCGATAGAGGTTAAAATATGGTACTTGTTTTTACCCTGCCTGGCGCTCGGCATTAACGTGATAAAACTAGGACTAGTCGGATTGGAGTTGGTAAACAGTGTTTGAGTTGGGTGTTCATGTTAACCAGCGGTATGATATCTCAGTGGGCTAGCACTATAAAGCCAACAAGCAGACCAGTACAAGCGGTCATACACACAAACACACACAAACGCACGCACGCACGCAATGCACGCTCATGCTTGCACCTCGCCATATGAGTGCAATAATTTTGAACGCGACGTCAACCGCATCTCACCTCACATACTTTATATAATTAGTATCCCCGCCAAGAAGTGGAAGGGGGATACTGGAATGGGTGTTGTCCGTCCATCCTACCCTCCTTCCGTCCGTCCGACCGTTCGTCACATTTCGTTTTCGGAGCAGAACTAAAAAACATAAGAGACATCTTTACCAAACTTGGCACATAGATAGGTCTAGTGGTGAACTGGTGCCTTTTGATAGTTTGAGATTTTTGAAAAAAATATATTTCGAGTTTCAATGACAACGACTGTAACTTAGACTGAAGATTGCGGTTGTGCTGCTTTCCGGAGTAGATATTGAAAACCTTACGATATTTCTTCACCAAACTTGGCACATATATAGGCCCAGTGTAACTGGTGCCTTTTGCTAGTTTATGATTTTTGAAAACTTTATTTTTCGAGTTTCCATAGCAACGACTTTGACTAAACATGGCGGTAGTTCTCGTTTCCGGAGGGCTGATGCCATGCACACAACCGGACATATCACACTGGCGGGGGAATGAGTATTTCATGCTTGTTGTTATATGTTGTTGTTCCAGTCCGTGCTGCACCGCCGAGGGTTCATCGTAACACAGCAGCCTCTGTTCCACAGCGTAGAGCAGTTCTGGACATTAGCTCAGGAGCAGGAGTCGGTGACCATTGTGTCCCTCACGCCCCCAGATCTCAACCCTGTCGACTTGAAGGTGAATACCCTTGACATCACTTCGCCGCAAATCTTCGTCTGGTTAAGGATTTTTTATCTTTGGCTTCAGTTTGCAGATTAATAATAATTTGATTTAGACATTCCCATCAACTTTACGATATTAGATTATATTCATCCTGGATGATTGAGTGTATTATATCCACATACTAGTATGATAAATACCCTGGGCCCCGTTCCATAAAGCGATCTTAGCGCCAAGGTGATCGTAACACCCATACCTTAACATAGACTTACGACACTCGTCGTGCTAAGGTCGTTTTGTGCAACGGCACCCTGGACCCCATCCACAAAGCGATCGTAGCAGTACGAGTGTCGTAAGAAGACTTTTTTTAGTGTTAAAGTGTGGGAGTTATGACTGTCATATCGCTACGATCGCTTTGTGGGATGGGGCCCTGGACTCATTCGCAGCTTCGTTATGAACGTGACGTCACCACCTCCATCACTCTAACATATCACAGCACTTCCATGGTAACGAGAGTTATTTGATTGGACGGCTATTTTAGAGTCGTGCCATTCGAATATGTTTTATCAAGAAATTGTGGTAGCTAATTGATCCAGGCTACTTATCAAAGTAGAATTGAGATGTAATATCCTGGATAATCGAAGATGGATCAAATCATGTTACTTTGAAAATTGATGGAATCCTTAATTTTTTACCATGACGGCGCTGTGATTCCCACCATTTACTTCATCGTAGTGATGTTTGGAATAGTTTTTCACAGTTATAATGAAATATCAGTATAGTTAAACACTGAAAATTCAGTTCCGATATTTCCGTCATACATTACGTAACTGTTACAGTAACATTCAAATGAACTATTCTTTGTGAATATTTTGCTTTTTCATAACGATATCATTTATAGGATATGATCATCGGGTTCATTGCGTTCGCTTTCCTTTAGTAAGTAAGATACGTATGTGACAGGACTACGGAGAATATATGCCTCTGAGGGAAGGCGAGGCTCTGTCGGTGGGGAAGTTTGAGGTTCTGTTGAAGTCTACAGTCAACACGAGAGAGGAAATTCCAGAGAAAACTGTCATTTTACGAACTAAGGGCGAGGTAGGTGCACACAGACATTGTTTTATGGTTATCTCTTTGAATTGAACACTAATATTGATTCCGACAAATCCAACGTCATGCATCAGAAGGAGGTTCAAATGTATGTATGACTGAAGCAGACAGTTTGGTACCTACATGTTAATATGTCGCTGGAAATACACAACAAACTATCCACCAAGCATGTTCCTTTTTAGACTTTTTGAGAATTATGTTTGGCCATGAACATCTTCATGCTACTTGGGGCACGGGTGGCCCAGTCGTCTATGAGCCGCAATTCGCTGTGCAGAGTTGCTCCTTTGGGTGCGCCAGAAACCTATGATTGTTGCTTCGAATTCCGGTTTGCCCCGAATATGTTTCTAGGTTTGTTAGCACCATACCCGTGCTCGTGGGTTTCACCGAAGTGGTAAACGTGTGCATCACGTCGGGCGTTCCTCCCACATTGAGCTTACATGCCGTGATATAACTGGAATACTGTTAAATCGTTAAATCTTACGGCGTTAAATCACTCACTCACTCTTAATGCCAGTGCCCCCTCAGTCTCCTTATCTGGCAGACTCCTAGAATCCGCCTACTGAAGAAAGAAGTAAGGAGGGAGATGATGTTAAGTTTCACATTGTTTGACCTATATAATGCGCAAATCTAGCATAAGGGCTATATCCAATGGAAATAACATTATTTGAGACTAGCAAATATCTTTTGTTTGGTCACATAGTTTGGCACATCTAGGATCAGGGCTATATCCAATGAAAAGAAATTCTTAGAGACAAGCAAATAACATTCGTTTTGGTCATATTGTTTGGCACATCAAGTATCGGGGCTATATCCAACGCTATAAAAAAACATTCTTAGAGACTAACAAATACCATTTGTTTGGTCACATTGTTAGGCCATTTCTATCTATTTCTGTACAGTGTATATTTGCTGTTCTGGAACTTCCCGTTCTCAAACAGTACACTAACAATGGATTAATAAGGTACACATTTCTTTCTTCTTGTTTTTGCTTTCCTCAGGATGACTTCACGCCAAGCCGCCACGTCAAGGTGTTCAGTATACCCGACTGGTCAGTTAATGAGGACACTCCCACCAATAAGTTTGTTCTTCTACTGCTCCTGGAGATGCTGGTGAAGAGGCAGAAGGACGCCGGACAACACCCGATCATCGTCCATTGCTTGTAAGTCCGCGAGTCCCGCTGTCGTGTGACAAAGCGTCCAGATGAAAACTTATCCGTCAGGATTCGGAAAGTCCCTCACAACTCGAGGGCGTGACAGTGTGTCCGGTCGAGGTTGAATTGTCGCTCGCCACGTTTAACTTCCTGAATGTTAAAATGAGCATATAATGAGAATATATTACTCATCATTTGGTTTGATGTATCTCAGATCATCACTGGCAGGTACAAACAATAAAGGCACAATCTAAATATGTAAACCGTTTTGGAAATTATAATCTTTTATTGTCCAGGGATTTTCTACCTTGATCCAACATAACTTCTACTTCGGGATCGATTGTCAAGGGTCCCAAGTACCAAGTGTACAACAATATGATGGTTAAATTGTGTGACCCAAGTTGACTGTGTCATATCATGCATTTTTGCTCATGCAGTCAACCTCTGGTTTGCCTTACCCAAATCTATCATTAACGGGACGCCGTGAATTCGTTGAAATATTGTGGACGGGGTACACAATACAACATTCAGTAACCCAGTCTCTATTACATTTGTAAATATTAAACGTCAACGCCAGAGAACAACAAGTTTCTTTTATCCGCTGAATCAGATTCCACTAGGCGTAAAAGGCAAACAGCGGTTAAAACTTTATGAATAGGTCACTGAAGTTCTATGATGACACCAGGTGTTAAACATGTTTTCAGGGATGGTGCGAGCCGATCAGGTTTGTTTTGTGCAGTGTCCAACATCATCAGCCGGTTGAAGATGGACAAGGAAGTGGACATATTCTTGATTGTCCGCGAGCTTCAGTGCATTCGACCCGCCATCATCACTTCATCTGTAAGTGCCATTGAGGAACCTTATCAAAATAATGACAAACAGTGCTAAGGGAGAATACTTGTCTGTTCCAGGGGCGGTCGGGTAGCCTAGTGGTTAAAGCCGAAAACCCGGGTTCGATTCCCGACATGGGTACAATATGTGAAGCCCATTTCTGGTGTCGCCCGCCGTGATATTGCTGGAATATTGCTCAAAGCGGCGTTAAACCAAACCCACTCACTCGATGGTCTGTTCCACTCGAATGTATGTTAAAAGCATGAGCCTTTTGTTGTAACAACTGATCTGTAGTATGCTTCGGGTTGGTGAAATACAAACAAAGTTGTATGTCGTTTTGATGCTTCATTGTGGTGGACCGCCTCCGTGGTCTTGTGGTAGAGCGTCCGCCCGGAGAGCGGAAGGTCCGGGGTTCGATCCCCGGCCGCGTCATACAAAAAGACGTTAAAAGATTGTATTTGTTGTTACCCTGTCTGGCGCTCGGCATTAAAGGGCTAAAACAAGGACTGGTCGGCTCGGAGTCAGTATACTGTGTCTGAGTGGGGTATTCGTGTTAAACTGCGGCTTGGTATCTCAGTGAGCTAGCACTATAAATCGGCATCAGTCCGGACTAGTACAAGCAACCACACACGCACATACACGTGCATGCACGTCGCTATATAAGTGCAATAATCTTGGACGCGACGTTAAACCCAATTTCACCTCACCTCATTGTGGTTTTTCCTTGTTCATGGTGTGTATTTAGAAGGATTAATATGCCTATCTCATTCACTCAGAATTGTACACTCTCTAAGCTCTGTATGTGTTTTTTTTCAGAGCCAGTACTCTTTCTGCTTCGAAGTTGCCAGGAATTACCTGAAAAATCCCGAACCACTGGCCTAACATCCGTTATACTTCCATGTTTCAACTGTTTCCTCAGTGTACAATGGCTCGGGGAGACACACACTCGTGAAATCTCGCCCCGTCAAAACCAACTGAACATGAATATGTTTGGCCTTTCAAAGAAATCGAAGACAAAATGTGAAATGGACATATTTAATTTCATTTGATTTATTAGTCATAGCTCCTGATGTATTTATTGTATATCATTTATTTCATCAGCATTTCAGTGTGTTGAATACTATTATATCATTAATTTCTTGCTGTGCTGAAGAATATCCTTATGTGCCAATTTAAATATGAATCAGGGTTAAAAGAAATGAACTGTCAAGTTAAATTCTACAGAGAAGTAGGCATGCTTGAATATTTGCCCTAAAATATTTTTGTTTGATTTCATGTCTTGAATTGTCGTTTGAAGGTTACCTTTAATGACATATATCCATAAAATCCCTAATGTGTGCCAGTTTCTTAAACCAAATTATGTAAATAGAAGTAAATACTCAGCATTGGATATAATTACAAGACGAAAATAAGTGAGTGAGTTGTGTTTAATGCCGCTTTTAACAGTATTCCAGTTATATCACGGCGTGTCAGCTTAATGTGGGAGGAAAGCCCTAAGTGATGCAGGTCTCAGACGTTTACCACATCGGTGAAACCCACGAACACGGGTATGGTGCTGACAAACCTAGAAACATAATCGGGGCGAACCGGGATTCGAACCCACACTCATAGGTTTCTGGCTGTCCAAGGGACGCAAATCCCTCCCCGCCCCGCCTTACCCCACACACTTGGCGGAAGCTATCCTGCATACATCAATTGAAAGAGGAAGTTAATTCCTGTTTACTGCAAGATTATCTTTTAATTAACCTTTGATACATTAGACAACATTGCTAAGGTCACACAGGTGGTGTAGATTAGTAAAATGTAAAAAACGTGTTATTTATATAACATTCTTCCAGACACGCCGATCTCAGAATATATCCTTTTCAGTGGCTATTTATGACAGTATACTTTACTTGACCTTGAAGAAGTAAGGTTTAAAAACTTATAATACAAAATCATGTACGTTCAATTCATCACAGTATCTAATTGATTATTTCCGTGTATATGTTCATGTGTGCAGGTTTGGCAGATGTTGGAGCACATCTAAAGGTTCTGGTGACGTTATTTGGGTCACATGTAGTACACGTCCTCAAATCGATACACTTAAGAAAACAACGCCGCGCCATATTTACAGAGGCTCGTAGGATATTGGGTTTCTTGTGCATTGAGTGAGAGTAAATGAGTGAGTATGGTTTTACGCCGCTTTTAGCAACATTCCAGCAATATCACGGCAGGGGACACCAAAAATGGGCTTCACACATTGTATCCATGTCGGGAATCGAACCCGGGTCTTCGGCGTGACGAGCGAACGCTCTAACCAGAAGGCTACCCGACCGCCCCCGCATTGAGTGGGAAGTTTAAAGAGACCTCTATACCGTTTTCACATTATACCCTAGTGTGCTGTTCGTAGGGCCCATGTTTTTGCCTACGCTCTAACACAGATTGAGGGCTCGATCGAGATATAAGGGTACATTTGCGAGAACAACAGAGCGAAATCAAGTAAATGGTTCTTTTCATCCCGATAAAGTACTGTTGTTCTTCCTCTTTTCCGAAAACTTTCATCTAATGTACTGGTGTTCACTTTATTTTCATCTTAAAGAGTTTAGCGATTGTAAAACCTATTTTCTCTTTGATATAGATATGATGGCATTAATAGCATAGGGTTGATGTATGTTAACTCTGCCAAAGCATCCAGCATTACGTTTCGTTATCGGATATTAAGTGTTGTATGGATATTAATTGTACTTTTCTCTTTATATTAAAGACGTTGTTGGAATTGTATGTTTACCAATTAGTTATTTGAGTTTGTACTTTCGATCTGATGATGTCATGATATTAAACTGTTGCAAATATTTTATTGAAATTATTTGTTTTCATGAAGTGACCAAGGACACAATTTCGGTCTGTTTTCACTGCCTTCATAGGAGACACACAATACTAAGTTTGAATATATATATAACACATTACACCGAGGTCATCGATGACAATTGATTTATTGAAACCAGACATGAGGAAATATAACATTTCAAAGGTAATAATCTAATCTACAAATTGGATCTACTGTTACAATCTGGGGCCAGAACCATGCAGATACGTCAGTTAAAACATTGAAGGTTAAATAGTAAAATGTGAGGTTCATTTGAAACAACTTTTAAAACGTCCTCCTGTAATCGTTCTTCTCACAAAACATCACCAACAGGGGTGTTACATCTACTATGACACCGTACATATATATGCTAGCATCTTCAATGCGTTTATTGTTAGTTTCAAGTTGGTCGTTTCATCAATAGGCGCGTCATATTTCAAAGATAGCGTGGTGCCAATAGCTTCTACCTGTGTGTATCAATCGGCGCAGGAGCCTTGAACTCCGCTGAAAAGAAGAATATAAGTCAATGTTTCCATCAATTCCATCATGAATTTAATGAAATATTACGACAATCTACCCATAAAGCGGCAATATAGCCATCATCAGATCATGGAGGGTATGGAAATGACTTTAAACTGTCATTTGCTTGATAACGGTGTTAGAATCTACATCGAAACGTCGCCCAATTGTAATAAAGAAGTTACTCATCCATAACAATTTTGTCTTAGTTAATGAATGCCTGTTGAACAAAACAGCCCTGACAAATTGTACCTGTTCTTTGCCATAACAGGTGTCATAACTTATTAAACCCGTGATACCAACGGAGCACAGAACACTGTCAGACTTCTAGTGAGTGAGTGAGTTGGGTTTAACGCCGCTTTAAAAAGTATTCCAGTTATATCGCAGCGTGTCAGCTTAATGTGGTAGGGAAGCCCCAAGTGATGCAGGTCTCAGACGTTTACCACTTCGGTGAAACCCATGAGAACAGGTATGGCGATGACAAACCTAGAAACATAATCAGGGCGAACCGGGATTCGAACCCACAATCATAGGTTTCTGGCGTGCCCAAGGGACGCAACTCTGCACAGCGAATCGAGGCGCCTTAGACGACTGGGCCACCCGTGCCCCCTTAGACCACTAAATGGAGTAGTGCAGATCAGTGATATACTAGTATTCTGAATGATGTTTTTGTCTATATGTTTCAATGGTTGAGTTGGCACATTCTAGAAACTGTATGAACGTTGCAATTGTCCAAATAGATTAACTCAAGATCTTACCTAACCCCGGACAGTCGTGAAGGCCAAGTCCATTGGCAGTACTCGCTGGTGTTACAGTAATGCTGTTTCAAGAAAACAAAATATTTAACCAACCACCGAGTTCCAACTCGTTAGGGTAATCAAGCATGCTATACATTGACTCAACTTCACGAAAACATGTATATATTTTTTTCTTATCATCTTGCGTCTCCTTTCAACGTGTGGATTGACCTGATTCTTATTAATACATGCGTCATTTGGATATTTTAATCACCTTCATGTGCAAAAATCAGTCAACATGTTGTTTTATTTTTATAATTGTGTTCAAGACATGTACAAGTTGTGTGTGTATATATGTAACATTTCGGTGTAGGCATTCCATACCCGACTCTATAAACCATGTACATGTATATCCACCATCCTCTGTCTGACATGAAGCATGTTTTGTTGTTGTGCTCATTAACATACTTTTATATATATTTCCAACCTATCAGAACAGGTATATCAGCAAACAAGCTAAATGACACATGGTCCTTTCTCCCTCGGTCGGTGTAATCCGCTGCCTACATTATACATCAGGTACCGGAGTTGGTTGGTTTGTTTGTTGTTTAACGCCGCACTCAGCAAAATTCCAGCTATATGACGGCGGTCTGTATATAATCGAGTCTGGACCAGACAATCCAGTGGGTGTAGTGATATTGCATGGATTTGCTGTAAACCGTGTGACGTCAGATCCCATTTTATATAGTTCGTATAATACCTCGGCTTTTTTAGGACTATGTTAATGACTAATTTTTGCTTAACATTATCAAGGTGTACTCGTTGATTTGAAGGCAAAAGCAAACGGAAACATTGTAAAATATCCATAGTATGTTCACTACTTCCGCCAGGTTGTGTTGTGTCATGTGATAAAAGAGACAAAACCCTTTACATAAGAAATCTCGAGACGATTGTATGATTCCGACTATATCATGAACACGTGTCTGTGAATCACTATCAAACAATGATGATACCAAGTGTACGCTGAAATATGAGCGTATCCCGCCTCAGTGGTGGATCACGTCACAAACACAAGCAAAGGCAAGGCAACTGTTCACCTGATACAACACGGACATGCGTCAAATTAGGAAATGTTCTTATGATTACGGACATCGCTTTGTTTTATCGCTTTTATTCCTTATAATTATATAGGGAAATGTTAATATGAACTATATAAACTTGCCACAATATCGATATTTGGATCAATAATTACACCTTTAGTCATTTGCACTTTCATTCTTAATCATTCGAAGTCAGTTTTGTACATGTTCAGGGTACTTACGTTTTCTTCTTAATTTTCCACATAACCGCCATTGATCCTAAAGCTCCAAGAAACAGCAGCAGGCCATAACCACCCCTTAAAGCCCATATCTCGTTGTTTCTATGAGATGCTACTGTAGAACAAATGTGGACACTCCTTCCCAATCCATCTCTGGGCTTATCAGTTCCTCTGAAGCAACCAGACCCACCGTTGTCACAATTGCCACCTGCTTCGCCAGCACCCCGTACAGTTCCTGTTCCCGTTTTTTTCTCAATGCCAACTATTTCATCTGGTCCCCTGTGGCCACCAAATCTACCATCACCACCCTTACCTGATACACTATCACTACCCATATCATTGAATCTACCTTTGTCAATTCCTGAACCAGCTCTCATTCCTTTTCCCATTTCTGCTGCTCCACTTGCACCAGCCCCGCCACCATCTACAACTCCTGCACCTCCTATTCTACCCGAACCAACTCCCAAGGAACCACTCATCCCTCCTCTCATTCTTGCTTCTCCACCCGCGCCAGCACCAGCTCCACCACCAACTCCCTTTCCTGCATCTCCTATTCCTAATGCCCCACCTGCACCAGATCCGCCAGCACCTCCCATTCCTGCATCTCCCATTCCTGCACCTCCCATTCCTGCACCTCCCATTCCTGCACCTCCCATTACTGCACCTCCCATTCCTGCACCTCCCATTACTGCACCTCCCATTCCTGCATCTCCCATTCCTGCACCTCCCATTCCTACTACCCCACCTGCACCAGATCCGCCAGCACCTCCCATTCCTACTACCCCACCTGCACCAGATCCACCACCAACTCCCATTCCTACTGCCTCACCTGCACCAGCTCTGCCAGCACCTCCCATTCCTACTGCCCCACCTGCACCAGCTCTGCCAGCACCTCCCATTCCTACTGCCTCACCTGCACCAGCTCTGCCAGCACCTCCCATTCCTGCTGCCTCACCTGCACCAGCTCTGCCAGCACCTCCCATTCCTGCTGCCTCACCTGCACCAGTACCTCTTATTACTGCACCTCCCATTACTGCACCTCCCATCCTTGCACCTCCCATTCCTGCACCCCCCATTCCTACTACCCTGCCTGCACCAGCTCCAACAGCACTATCGAATCCTAGAGATACTTTTAATTTTCCATTCACACTTTTTGGACTACTTCCACCATCAATTGCCTGTACTGTAATGTCAAAAGAAGACGACACGGCTTTTATATCAAAGTGAGATGCCTTCTTCAGCTGTCCAGAATACATGTCCATGAAGAAGTGATTACCCACGTCTTCACCCTTATCTGCGATGAAACAAAGTACTATAATTATGGTCATTGATTAGCTGTCAAGAAATTATATAAAAAATTATAATCTGTAGTCAAAGGAGCGGCCGGCAGCCTAGTGATTAAAGCGTTCGCTCGTCACACCGAAGACCCGGGTTCGATTCCTGACATGGGTACAATGTGTGAAGCCCATTTCTGGTGTCCCCCGCCGTGATATTGCTAGAATATTGCTAAAAGCGGCGTAAAACCATACTCACTTACTCACTGTAGTCAAAAGTCATCAATTGTCACATCATTATACGTTAGGTCCACAATGACGTCTGTGTACGTATGAAGTCATCTACGGCGTCTGTCTTACGTCAACATGGTGAAATGATTATCATTAAATTGTGTACACTATGTTTAACTTACCAAACTGGGTTAAAACTAGAACAACGGTCCCCCCTTAGCCACGAAAGGCCCAACTGTGGATATATTTAATCAAATGCGACACACCCCTTTCCATATTCATAAGAAATCTATGACAAACGCAGGGTCTATTGTACAACTCCGACACGTGACAGATTCTAATATCATAAAGGCATTAATATAGGCTGTTTGACATCTCAGTGAAAACCCACCTGATTTGACTGATATAATTCTGTATGTTACAGTTCCGTCTTTACCCTTGTCATCATCTTTCGCTCTGAACGTTTCCACTATGGTTCCAACTGGGTCGTGCATAAGAATAGCTTTGTCTTCAAAACTGAAAGAGTTGGCTTGAAGCTTTGGAGACGTCCACTTTGGATAGAATTCATTGACCGGTAGGACCTTAAATACGAAGTGAGCAAATACAACTGATGCACATATTATTTGACTAGCGTATAGCGGGTGTAAACTTTATGACATTGCTGTGCTTGCTCCACGCAGGCGACCATAGCATGGAAGTGGCAATATGTCGACAATGCCGGATTCATGGATTACATACTATGTACATTTTGCCAGAGGTCAGAAAGAAGGCTCAGGGTTGGTTGGTTGGTTGTTTTACGCTGCACTCAGCAATATTCAAGCTACATGACGGCGGTCTGTAAATAATTGAGTCTGGACCAGACAATCCAGTTATTGATACTATGAGCATCGATCCACGCAATTGGGATCGATTACATGCATCAACCAAGTCAGCGAGCCTGACCACCCGATCCTGTTAGTCGCCTCTTACGACAAGCATAGTCGCCTTTTCCGGCAAGCATTGGTTGCTGAAGACCTATTCTAACCCGAATCTTCACGAGTCACAAAGCTCAGGGACAGAAGTTGGTTCAGATCATCCTTGATTCCCATTTGATGCTGGGATTACTTGTTTTAAATGATTTGTTTCAGAAAATGCTAGAAGAAAAGCAACAAAATACTGCGGGGTGTCATGAAAAACATATTCTGTGAAACAAATTGTTCGGCTAGTTTCTCAACGAAAACATTTCCCTTTGGTACCGAGCCTGACTCCCTCAGGTCGCCTTGTGCAACAAACATAGCTTGCTGGGGACTAATTCCAACTGGAATCACTACGGAGTCAAGTGATTAGTGACAGGCCGATTACATCAGATAATCAAATCGTGATCACAGACTCAATATAAAACATTCATACATGAGAAAGTATTCACATGTCACACGTTTTAATGAGTGCAAATTTACAGTTTTTAAGAAAGTTCCAATCCCTGGCTTCAGACTACCTACAAGGTTATGTATTCGAAAAGGGTGTGTGTGTGTGTGTGTGTATGTGTGTGTGTGTGGGGGGGGGGGGGAGAGGGGGGGTGCAGGTGACAACCAATTTTAATTACACATACCTCGACCACAACAGTTGCTTTGCCTACGTTTACCCTCCCTGTATCCGGCATGTCAATTGCCCCCACAGTCAGGGTGTAAGAAAAGTCCTGTTTCTCTAACTCTTCGTAGTCGATCTTGGATGCATCCACCATCAGGGACGTTCCTTGCACGGTAAATATATTCTTATCGACTGTGTTGGGTAGGCGAAAGCGCACTTTTCCGTTCCCACCACTGTCTGCGTCGGTGATAGCGAAGTTGGCCAGTTGTATTGCTGAAAATATAATCCTTCCAGTTAGGTGGGGTGAGATGCGTTTAAGGCCGCGTTGAACAGTATTTCAGATTCAGGCGTGTCAACGTAACGTTGGAGGAAAACAACGTGACAGGGTGAGGACGTTTCCAACTTTGGATTTGGAACCCTTGAGGTTGGAACCCTAGATCGTGCTGATAGCCCAATACCCATAATCAAAGAAAATCGGGGATTTAACTAACGACCAGTGGATGATGGCATTACTGAGGCACATCGCCTACCATTCCATTGAATTACTGGTAGGATTAGGTTAATATATACTCTGCAATCACTTCCACCATTCTAGCTGTCTTTGGTGCGATGAAACAAGTTACGCCACAAAACCAAAATATACTTAAGAATTGAACGGATGGGTCCATTGGAGTGTGGACGATTTAAAAGCGCTGGTTAAACTGTGTGAACCTCCAAGCTTGCCAGTTTCTCAATGCTTACTAAAACGCTGAGTTCAAGATTAAAGGTCTAAATGATCAGAAAGAATGCTTCTGTATGTATTCATGCTAGGGAATTCTCAGTGGTCCCGTCAGTGTTATACTACGGTGACAACTTACAGACGCATATCGTGCTACCATTTGCACGCAAGTTTGGTCGACGTTTTGTATTCCAAGATGGCAATGTAGGTGCCCACCTCAGTGACATTATATCTAGGCAGTTACAGCAGCATGACCAGAAGACGTCAACATCCCACACCCACTTTAGATTACCTGCCACTTGTGCTTCAATGGGTGTTTAATGGATAGGGTACAAATTTATCATTGGATGGGTGACTATGAGCGTGCCACGATTAATCAACGAATGCTGGTTGAAATTGGAGGCTTAACCTGTCACTGGTGGACACTTTGAAACTTTAATGAACTGTTTCCTATCAGGTTCCAACATTTTCCCTCTAGTTAAAGACAATCAAATCCTTCATTGACATGAAACACTCATTAATAACACTGCATATATTTGATGTGTAAGCTCTTTGATATCCCCTACTTAATATAATGTATCGAGACTAAAGATGCCACTTTAGAAAATGTCTCCATTTGGTATTAAGCACTTACCCTGACCTCCGTGTTCTGTGACGTTGAAGTGGAAGTAAATATCTCCAAAAGATGGGGTGTTGTCGTTGATGTCAATTACTGGAATCGTAAGCGACGCGTCAACCCGGTTACTCCCCTTATCGGTGACGGTCAAGGTCATCTTGTCAATCTTCTTTACACCACGAACACCATCGAAGTCGATTCTTCGTTTCAGTGTCAGTTTTCCATTGGCCTCATTGATGGCGAAATAATTGTGTCCCCCTTCAAAATAACAAAGTCACATTCGACATGTTCAATACCCATACTCTCTTACAATTATGTTACTAAAGAAATGATATGATAGTTAAGTTTGAGTTGAAAAGTGACATCTTTGAGCTTTGCTGTCATACCCCACGGGTTCTCCGATCGTATACTGAGCCATTATTCAGGGCTCAGTCAAAAGTGATCATGAAATATTTTCATGCAACTACATGTATATATATGCACATGCAAGGAAAGCAAAAGTACATTACATGTACATATACATGCTCTCTGCCTCATAGCATTCATTCACCTGATGAAGGAGTATGCATATACTCTGAAACGTTGTGTTTGGTCATACGAAAGAAATTGACATCCATAAATTCTCTTCCTTATGTGTATCACTTCTAAATGCCATTCAAAGACAAAAACTATTATATTGATAGAATTAATGAAAACTCGTTTTCACAAATAATTAACCAGTCTCGGTTATTGTTGTTAGAATTTGTGTTGTTCTATAGGTCACAGATGATCATCCATGCTAACCTTGTAAGTTATATTTAAGATCGTCGTTGCGATCTGCATCAGTTGCGTCAAACAAGCCGCTGAGTACAGTTCCAACCCTCAACTCTTCGGGAATCGAGAGGTCATCGCTGATTTTCAAAACAGGAATTTCGTCATTTACATCCACAACTTTGACACTCATAGCCACAAGGACAGTATGTAGACCATCAAACGCTCTGAAATAGATCATCAGACGCTCTGAAATAATCCATCAAACGATCTGAAAGAGCCCATCAAACGCTCTGAAATAGACCATCAAACGCTCTGAAAAAGCCCATCAATTGCTCTGAAATAGACCATCAGACGCTCTGAGATAGACCATCAAACGCTCTGAAATAGCAAATTGTAAGTAAATAAGCACTTCATTGAGATTAGCTAAGATCAGATTAAGATCATACAAATGCCGTTAAGATAATTAGGACGAACATAGAAGCACAAAACAGAGAACACATCTAATACGAATAAATAAAATACATGTATACGTATGTAACACTAACTTTACAAATAAACAAATTAGAAAAAAAATATATATATAATAAACCGTTTACGTGATTATGATAATATATGTATTCAAAAAGCTGCTTTCAACTTGATTCATAATGAGCACTGAAACACAAACAACGAGGCTTGACGGAAACGTTCTGAGTCTAAATACAAAGGATGCATTGTACAACTCTTACAGCTTGCATCGTATTAAGTACAATACTGTCCATGCTTACAGGCTTAATAGGAACCATACATACACACAAACAAGCAGCATATTTCTGAAGGCATCAAAATGACTAGGTATTGTTATAAGGATACAATGAGTCTTAAAAAACGTTAGAAAATAGAAACTGCAATGACGTGGTTGCAATATTGTAATATATTGCAATATATATATATATATAAAGTTTGTGTCCAGTCTATGACGAGTCTTGCCTGTTTTATTTAGCAGTTGTATTTGTAGATGGACTGGAGCGTTATGAAAAGTATGGGAGTATAACCTGTGTGTTGTGTTTACTCCTGATGTATGCAAGGGCCGGTACATGAATGTTGATAGAGACAGTTCGGAGTAGGAGTCGATTGACCAATCACTCCTTGACTAAGATGACCCGATTCTGACCACGAGATTAGCTAAGTCATGGCTTACCTTGACTATGACGACACGAAACGACAAAAAAATAAGGTAACTGTTGTAGGGCTGTGCGCGTAGGTTAAATTCCAAGATTCCCCATGAGGAGATTTCTAGGTTTGTCAACACCATGATGAGCACGTTAGTTTCACCAACGTTGTGAACGCTTCGGACCCGCATCACTGCGAGTTCTGCTCCAACATCAAGATGACACAGCCTGATAGAGCTGAAATACTGTTCAAAGTGGCGTAAAACACAACTCACTCACTGTTAATGTTATGCTAAAGCCATGAAGGTAATTGTAATGAGTGCACAATTATCTTTCTCAGTTCCCTTCTGAAGTGCTTCTCAGATGTCACTCATGAAACAAAACTAAACTATCGCCATCGGTTACAGTGAGTGAGTGAGTTTGGTTTTACGCCGCTTTTAGCAATATTCCAGCAATATCACGGCGGGGGACACCAGAAATGGGCTTCACACCTTGTTCCCATGTTGGGATTCGAACCCGGGTCTTCGGCGTGACGAGCGAACGCTTTAACCACCAGGCTACCCGACCGCCCCCCATCGGTTACAAATAGTCGAGTATACCCGGGGCACATTATATTATGGTTTTACCTAGTTTATTGTATTCAAACAAGGAGTACTTACTCTATCTTGAGGGAATATTGCCGGTCCTTTTCAAAGTCAAGTATATGCTTCAGGATTACAGTAGAATTGACAATATGGAAGAGGTCCACGTGATTCTTCTGTGTCAACGTAATGGTGTCGTTTTCTGGGTCCTCGCACATGATGTTGAATAAAGCCTGGTGAATTGAAAAACCGATATTCTTATGACACACTCTTTATCAAACTCATGGGAAAGCCCACTCCATCATACTGTTTTAGCATGCACGGCTGACGTTACTACATAGTGTGATAATCGGGGTAATAAATATTAAGTGTAATAAATACTGTGATAGTCAGTGTAATAAATACTGTGATAGTCAGTAACAGTTTGTCAGTGTAATAAAACATGTGATAGTCAGTGTAATAAATACTGTGATAGTCAGTGTAATAAAAACATGTGATAGTCAGAGTAATAAATACTGTGATAGTCAGTGTAATAAAAACATGTGATAGTCAGTGTAATAAATACTGTGCTAGTCAGTGTAATAAAACATGTGATAGTCAGTGTAATAAAAACATGTGATAGTCAGAGTAATAAATACTGTGATAGTCAGGGTTATAAATACAGCTATAGTCAGTGTAATAAATACTGTGATAGTCAGTGTAATAAATACTGTCATTGTCAGAGTAATAAATACTGTCATAGTCAGTGTAATAAAACATGTGATAGTCAGTGTAATAAATACTGTGATAGTCAGTGTAATAAAAACCTGTGATAGTCAGTGTAATAAATAATGTGATAGTCAGTGTAATAAAACATGTGATAGTCAGTGTAATGAAACATATGATAGTCGGTGTAATAAAAATATGTGATAGTCAGAGTAATAAATACAGTGATAGTCAGTGTAATAAAACATGTGATAGTCAGTGTAATAAATACTGTGATAGTCAGTGTAATAAAACGTGTGATAGTCAGTGTAATAAATACTGTGATAGTCAGTAACAGTTTGTCAGTGTAATAAAACACGTGATAGTCAATGTAATAAATATTGTGATAGTCAGTGTAATAAATACTGTGATAGTCAGTGTAATAAATACTGTGATAGTCAGTGTAAAAAATATTATGATAGTCAGGGTTATAAATACGGTGATAGTCAGTGTAATAAATACTGTGATAGTCAGTGTAATAAAAACATATGATAGTCAGTGTAATAAAACTTGTGATAGTCAGTGTAATAAATACTGTGATAGTCAGTGTAATAAAAACATATGATAGTCAGTGTAATAAAACTTGTGATAGTCAGTGTAATAAATACTGTGATAGTCAGTGTAATAAAAACATATGATAGTCAGTGTAATAAAACTTGTGATAGTCAGGGTTATAAATACGGTGATAGTCAGAGTAATAAATACTGCGATAGTCAGGGTTATAAATACTGTGATAGTCAGAGTAATAAATACTGTGATAGTCAGGGTTATAAATACGGTGATAGTCAGTGTAATAAAAACTGTAATAGTCAGGGTTATAAATACTGTGATAGTCAGTGTAATTAATTTGATTGGCTCTTTCAGAAATTACGCCTTATGGTTCGAAAAGCCTAAAGTCGTTTGAACATATTTTGCATCATACTGATCCCTGACTTTTAAAATTACATTTGAGGGATACATAATACATGCTGGTGTTTTCGAAATTATGGTTGTGAAAGATTAATATCAAGGACGGAAACATCATTGGGAACCAATGTCGTCAGTGGAATGTTTAAAATTTGAAAAAAGATCGCGCATCAAGAAAAATGTTCATACACATTGAAAAGGGTGATTGCAACACACATTTGTTTTACAGTAAAGTTAGTAAGTATTGTCTGGTCCAGCATTGAAATCAAAGTGTGCCGAAAATATATTCCCTGTTTGAAGTCGAGATTCATTTACAAACGAGTCAAGTTTCATCTTGGATAATTAGACCTACATTTTCAGGACGCTAATGTATTTCAATACATTTAATTTCACCTGTCAATGGCTCAAACTAGGTTTCATCATGGAAATAATACTTGTATGTTTAGGACACTAATGCAGTTCAATAGATTTGATTTCACCTGTCAATGGCTCAAACTAGGTTTCATCATGGAAATAATACTTGTATGTTTAGGACACTAATGCAGTTCAATAGATTTGATTTCACCTGTCAATGGCTCAAACTAAGTTCCATCATGAAAATAATACTTGTATGTTTAGGACACTAATGCAGTTCAATAGATTTGATTTCACCTGTCAATGGCTCAAACTAAGTTCCATCATGGAAATAATACTTGTATGTTTAGGACACTAATGCAGTTCAATAGATTTGATTTCACCTGTCAATGGCTCAAACTAAGTTCCATCATGGAAATAATACTTGTATGTTTAGGACACTAATTCAGTTCAATAGATTTGATTTCACCTGTCAATGCCTCAAACTAAGTCGCCCTTAGGCGCACCAGAAACCTACGACGTGGGTTCGAATCCCAAATTAACCTTGTTTCTGGGTTTCAAGGTTGTTACAGTTGTTGGTTCAGATCCCGTAACCAAGAGCGTGGGTGTTAAATGTTTGTAAACCTGCATAACTTTGGGTTTACTCCCACATCAAACTGACACGCCGAGATATAATTTAAATAATTTACAAAGCGACGTGTTAATTAATCATTATTAAGTCGTATACTTCCCTCGTGAATAAATGTTTTAGGTGATGGACTTGAAAAACATTTTTAATTCCTATCCCTTTATTTGCACATTGTTGTTTTTTTATTTGTTTGTTGTTAGGTGTTTTTTTGTGAACAACAAATATTTTATAAACAAGGACTAATACATTACTTGCCTTATTGACTGGGCTGTTCTCGGGAACGCTGATCGTCGTTGACCCTGATGGCAATGGAACAACAAACACTGGAGGGTTGTCTACAACAGATAGAACAGATTTATTGGTATTGATCCATCGGGTATGAAATAGAATCCATTGTGGGATGTTTCATTTGCATGTTAGTCGAACCTCGTTGTGTCGACCTTGGATATGTCGAATTCCCCGTTGTCTCGAACTCATTTGGGAGACAAAAGTATCTAATAAAGCATAAAATGTCTCTGATGTCTCGAACCGCGGATAACTCAATTTTGTTTCCAGGTCCCCACGAGTTCGACACAAAGAAGTTCGATTGTATTAGGCAATAGTAAATAAAGACACGCAAGATGTAATCAAAGATTCGCTCATTACCCTTCAAGTGACTATGGATATCGTCATAGGGCACCTCGGTTCCCTATGCAGTGATGTCGACGATATCAGTTCGAATCCCAAATGTTTCTAGGTTTCTCAGCTCTATAGGTGTACTCGTGTAAAGTGGTACAATTCTACGATCTGCATCACGTTGGGCTTTCCTCTGCCTTAAAGGGGCGATCGGGTAGCCTTGTGGTTAAAGCGTTCGCTCACCACGCCGAAAACCCGGGTTCGATTCCCGACATGGGTACAATGTGTGAAGCCAATTTCTGGTGTCCCCCGCCGTGATATTGCTGGAATATTGCTAAAATCGGCGTAAAGCCACTCACTCACTCACTCTCCACTTAAAAAATGACGAACCATGATATAAATGAAATAATAAAGAAAACTCACCTATTGAGTACAGCGTAATGACGACAGCTCAGTCTTGGCTCATAGGTAGCTCACCATAGACCACTCGTACATTGACCAGTGCGAGCAGCTACTGGGGCCTGCTTAAAGTGTGACACTTGTCACGATATGGCTGAAATATTGCCGATGTGACGTAAAGCATTAACTCACTCACTCACTTAAAGTGTGACTAGTGATAGCTGCATGTGTTTTTAAAGTTTAGAGATAGCTACACGTGTTCTGACCCTAGAAGATCCGAGTTAGAATAGGTCTTCAGCAACCCATGCTTGCCGTAAAAGGCGACTTTGCTTGTCGTAAGAGGCGACCAACGGGATCGTGTGGTCAGGTTTGCTGAATTGGTTTATGAATGTCATCGTATGCAAATTGCGTGGATTGGTGCTCATGATATCAATCACTGGATTGTCTGTTCCAGACTCGATTTCATCAAACAATGAAGAAAATAATACGAAATCACTTCTTATCAGTGACATCGTTTAGCGCCATAATCAGGGCATTGATACGTGTTTACGTTACGGTAACAAAAACAATTCGATTCTATTGTCGACTAATCAGGAAATACTCGATTACTTACAGACCGCCGTCATATAGCTGGAATATTGCTGAGTGTGGCATTAAACAACAAACAAACAAACATATGTTATTCTCATTTATACGAAGGCACGAGTGGACTCGTCGTCTAGCCCTCCGCAATTCGTTTTGCAAGGGTGCGTCCGTGGGTTCGAATCCTGGTTCGCCCTGATTATGTTTCTTGGTTTGTCCAGCACCCTAACCGTGTTCGTGGGTTTCCACAAAGTTGTAATCGTCTGAGGTCTGCATCGCTTCAGGTTTTCCTCCCAAATTAAGCTTACACGGCATGATATAACTTGAATAGTGTTCAAAGCGGCGTTAAAACCCAACTCACTCACTTACTCACTTATACACTGCCTTATGAAAATAAAGATTATCAAAGTTGTGTCCAACTATCTTTGTGTTAGGCTCACCACCGTCTGTATTTGTGTCGTTTTCATTCATAGCGTGTGATTGATAACGTAATGTATAATTAAAATCTATATAAATATAGTAATCTTTATTGATTCAAAAACTTTCATTTGAAAATGTTTTCAATGTCTAGGTTTTAGATTTCCAAACAGCTTATGGGTACATTTCAGGCAGTTGTCCCTGTACACCAGCAAACAAATGATATTTTGGTAGATATTTCGTCAGGGTTTATTACAAATACCACAGTGTCATAAACATTCACCGCAGTTAATTACCTTTTGCCACAATGTGCATGGTTACCCACACCAAAGAGAAAATGTACGGGCTTTGAACCAAACAATACATATCCTGACATGCACAAGGTTCTCAACTCGGCTACCTGTACATGTGTCCCCTACTCTGACAATAAATATATAGTCCAGTTTCTACATACCCACTCGAAATCTCCACTGGCCTGGGGAATGATGCGTGAAAACGCTGATGAAATTGACCCCGTATGTTTGTGGACCTTTGTAATCCAAAAGTGGATGGCTTTGGTTTAGGCTGGTTCCAAGTCCCACTTTGATGTGTCCATTTTTCCATGAAATCCACAATTGGGTGAATTTGTCAGCAACCATAGTTGTTGCTAATGCTGTGGAACTGAATGCTGAACACAGAATGCATCCATATTTGATGCCATTCATCCTATTTTTCCCGTCTCTGTGTTTCACAGCAAGAATGACACTGTAATACTTCCCCTTGCGAGGGTTAATTAACCTGGTCTCGGAGAGAATTATGTTTGCCTGACCTTTTCCCTTGATTTCAAAAAGTAGGTGGTCTTTTCCACCAACTGGAACTCCAAGTTCATTGATCTCAATCAGTTTTGCGGCTCCATCTGTATTAACCCTTTTGAACTGGCCTGAAACACGAAGAAAAATAATGATAAATACTGTTATCGGTTCTGGAAAGGAAATACCTCGGTCGCAACGCATATTAGTGTCAGCCACAGCAGAATGCGGACAGACAACATTTATTTACCGGTAATATTTATATTAAGCATTGTGACCCATATCAGTATCACGTAAACACTGCATTTGACTTAGACATGTAACCCAAGTCACCAACTGACACTATCCATATCATCCTGTGTCTGACTTACCCAAGTCACCAACTGACACTATCCATATCATCCTGTGGCTGACTTACCCAAGTCACTATCTGACACTATCCATATCATCCTGTGGTTGACTTACCCAAGTCACTATCTGACACTATCTATATCATTCTGTGGCTGACTTACCCAAGTCACTATCTGACACTATCCATATCATCCTGTGGCTGACGTACCCAAGTCACCAACTGACAGTATCCATATCATTCTGTGGCTGACTTACCCAAGTCACCAACTGACAGTATCCATATCATTCTGTGGCTGACTTACCCAAGTCACTGACTGACACTATCCATATCATCCTGTGGCTGACTTACCCAAGTCACTGACACTATTCATATCATCCTGTGCCTGACTTACCCAAGTCACCAACTGACACTCTCCATATCATCCTGTGGCTGACTTACCCAAGTAACTATCTGACACTATCCATATCATACTGTGGCTGACTTACCAAAGTCACAATCTGACACTATCCATATCATCCTGTGCCTGATTTACCCAAGTCACAATCTGACACTCTCCATATCATCCTGTGGCTGACTTACCCAAGTAACTATCTGACACTATCCATATCATACTGTGGCTGACTTACCCAAGTCACTATCTGACACTATCCATATCATCCTGTGCCTGATTTACCCAAGTCACAATCTGACACTCTCCATATCATCCTGTGCCTGACTTACCCAAGTAACTATCTGACACTATCCATATCATACTGTGGCTGACTTACCCAAGTAACTATCTGACACTATCCATATCATCCTGTGCCTGATTTACTCAAGTCACAATCTGACACTATCCATATCATCCTGTGCCTGACTTACCCAAGTCACTATCTGACACTCTCCATATCTACCTGTGGCTGACTTACCCAAGTCACTCACACACTATCCGTTTGATACTGTGGTTGAAATTTTATATGTATAATTATCGGTGATTCCTCTGAGGAACCCACGGTTTTTGGCGTGCCCAAGGGCACAGCACAGCGAATAGCAGCTCCTTAGACGACTGGGTTACCCGTTCCCCCCTTTTTATGGACGAGTACTCCACTCATTGTAGTATATTGTTTTTTGAGTAATGAAGCCAAGTACATTGTTGAAATCACGTATATTGGACCCGGTGTTTTCTAAAGTCATGTCGCTTCATTAATCAACTTTGCCTTCGGTTCCTTCGGTTTAACTTATTGCCGTTAAATATCCAGGTAACATTATGATAGCTCAACATTTCCAACACAGATACGTGAACTGTGAAGGCTGGTCATATCATATTATACATTCTGCAAACAAACAAAAAGAAGTAGTAAAAACGTAAATATCTGACAGAGTGTCGCCGACATCCATACAAAATTAATACCAACAAATGAATTGGTCATTTCTGGATGAATTGGGATTAATTTGTGTGGAAAGAATGAGGTCCTACAGAAATTTGTTGAAAAGATGGAAAAATCGCAAAAACACAACCATGTGAGAGCCTTTCGCCGAAAAACACCAACATGACAAGCACGCGCAACACCTCTTTTGTGGAACTATAAAAACGTTGGTTTTTCATTTGCATGCCATCACAATCTCACTCCAAGTGAATAGCGAAAACGTGCCACGACTGACGGAAGCCCAGCGCAACAACGCAATCGGTCGACTGCAAACAGGAGAACTTACAGCTGTAGACAGAATTGCCCACGTAGCATCAAGCACCAGTACAAGACTATGGAACCCTCAAGACACATGGGACAACAAGGGACCTTCCCAGATCCAGTTGACCATTTATCACAACTAGAGCACAGGACAAATTCATACGGCTTCGTCACTTACGTGAATGAACCACTACGACCACCTCTACAACTATACAATACCAGGATTGCGTTGGCACAAGCACTGCAGACAGATTGGGTGAAGATTTTCTAGGCCACAATTCGGGATCTGATTGCTTCCATGGGACGACGATGACAGTCAGTCTTGAACTCTAATGGTGACCATACAAGGTATTGAGGACAGATTACCTTCACCTTGAAAATCTACATGTTTGCCATATGGAACCTGGGTCAATGATGTGTGTCAATTTTGAACAATCGATTATCATCTGTTGATTATTTATATGATATATAAAATATACATCTAAAATCACTTTTGTGTTTCTTTTTTTTGTAGAGTATATGTAGTATTTGGTTAGATTGCAATTACATCGGGATTCAGTGGACATATAGTTTACTCAATACCTCGTGAGAGTCGAAAGAGCCGACTTAAAGGGCAACCAGGTGGTTACAACTGCACTACACACATCACGACTTGGATGACGGAGAGCAAATTGAAGCTGAATGATGACAGAATTGAGGCACTGGTAGTTGTCACAAACATCAGCTATACAGAGGACAAGTCATGAAACTTGCCTTAAAAGGCGACTATGCTTGTCGTAATAGGCGACTAACGGGATCGGGTGGTCAGGCTCACTGACTTGGTTGATGCATATCATCGATCACAATTGCGTTGATTGATGCTCATGATTTCAATCACTGAATTGTCTGGTCGAGACTCGATTATTTACAGACCGCCGTCATATAGCTGGAATATTGCTGAGTTCGGCGTTAAACAACCAACCAACCAACCAAGAAGTGTGTACTCAAGATATTCTTGGCTTGGTTCTGACCCGCCCCCTTGGGCTAGTCCCATCTCCAGTTTGGTTGGTTTGTATACCGGGGGAGGCTGACTGGGCTGCGGAGTTAAAAGATGAATTTCTTCTTGGCGTTCTGTAACCCAGGAGTAAACCAGCTTCGGGGGTTAGCCCTGGCGATGTACGTTTAGTTCAGGGGAATAATTCCCCCCTTTCCAGTCCCACCATGGAGACGGGTACATACATTCTTTATGTTGAAATAGTTGCTTATTTTCATCACCTATCAGAGATGTAGAGCAGCTTGAAATCGAATGAAAACTTGGCATGTGACTATATAATCCCGTGGGTTTTTATTTGAGGGGGGAGGGGGGGGGGGGGGGGGGGGGGTTCAGCTGAACAATTGACTTGCGTGTGCATGTGTTTGTGACAGGTGTCACCGATAGAGCAGGATACGCTCAACTTTTCGCGAATACTTGGTATCATCACTGTTTAATAGTGGTTCATAATCATATACTCAAGATATAGTCGGAATCGTACAATCGACTCTGGTTTTAGAAGAGCTTTCATATGAACATGGAAAGGATATTGTCGTTTTTATTTATTTTGAACTTTAAACGGCGTGAATCTACAGTGGCCTGTTTTGACGGGCGTGTATAGTGCACACAATTTTCTCTTTCCCGGTGGTCAACCAAGTGCCTCCTCCTTAGCCAGTGTGATGCGACTACTCGTTTAATCTTATACATTCTGTTCAACAAATTATATATGTTTTTCTTCTATTTCATCTTTTTACAAATTAATATAAAGATATGTGAGAAAATGGTTCATTTGTTTGAGATTTCATACTAAAACGTGACAAACTATTTTCATTTGAGTGGTCCATTGTTTACAAATTATGGTTTCACGATAAGAAATTTTACAAACAACGGAAATGTTTGGATATCATGAGATATGAAAATTGGCACGTGTCAGTGGTTCCAATGATTTTCTGTTATCAATTAAAATGTCATAATCTGCTAGTACAGATCCACTAAATACTGCAGCAAAACAGAACATTCACTCACTCACTCGTCTATAGGAATTATTCAAATGTATATTTCGTTTACTGTCAATAAAAAGTTTCAAATATTATGATATAACATGCTTACCAGCCTCACTATTCTGTATCAGGAAGATGAGAATTGTCCATCCAAGACAGCCAACATGACTACGGATTGGCAACCGTCGCATCCCAAATAATGATTAAAGTTGAACTCGAAAACTGTAAAAAGGAGGCAGACTGTTCCGGTGAGTCGCTGAAAAGAAAAGTTAGATTAAAGGCGACGACAACTGTACAAAAATAACGAGAGTTGAAATTATGAAAACAACATTATTTATGTTTTTAATCCTCCTTATTCAGCTTCAGAACGCACAACAGGAGGTATCACGTAACTCACACGGCTCAGCTCAATCCAGAACATGACGATAATATCGGCAGCAAGAAGAAGAGTCCATACTAGAACTTGGTTAAACAGTTTCATGAGTTCAATTGACCATAACATTAGATAGCACTATCTGGTGCCAGTCATGACCCTTTCGAAAGGTTGTTCTATACCAAATTGTACTCTTTATTTGTATCATTTGTTTGTTTGTTTGTTGCTTAACGACGCACTCAGCAATATTCCAGCTATATGACGGCGGTCTGTAAATAATCTAGTCTGGACCAGACAATCCAGTAATTGACATCATGAGCATCGATCATGTTGTTACAGGGTCGGTCGGGTAGCCTAGCGGTTAAAGCGTTCGCTCGTCACGCCGAAGACGCAGGTTCGATTCCCGACATGGGTACAATGTGTGAAGCCCATTTCTGGTGTCCCCCGCCGTGATATTACTGGTATATTGCTAAAAGTGGCGTAAAACCATATTCGCTCTCTCACTCTTGTTGTTACAAACTGTATACGGAAGGAACCCGTTCATATGCTAGGTGAGGTGAGGTGAAATTGGGTTTAACGTCGCGTCCAAGATTATTGCACTTATATAGCGACGTTCATATGCTAGGAATTAGGTAGGTAATGTAATAACCTGAGTCAACCTGAATGTCTTTCGGCTGTGATGACACTGCAAACATCGTGTTTTCGTAAATGGTCATTGGACGGGAAAACGACGTAAGTTGGACGTGGTGACGCTTCTTTTCCGAAATTGTATTCTGTCTTATCCGATTTCTTCAGCCTTATTCTACCGAATTACTCCAGGTTGAATCTGTTCTGACTTCCCTCCGCTGTGATATTCTGGCATATTTTGTAAATGTTCTAAAACCCAATCACGCATTCTTAACCAAGCCGGTGCGTCAACATACCATGCCTTACAGTCTCCTTACTCTCTACATAACCCAGGATGTGTCAACATACCATGCCTTACAGTCTTGTTACTCTCTATATAACGCTGTGTGTGTCAACATTCCGTGCCTTACAGTCTCCTTACTCTCTACATAACCCATAATGTGTCAACATACCATGCCTTACAGCCTCCTTACTCCCTACATAACCCAATATGTCTCAACATACCTTGCCTTACAGTCCCCTTACTCTCTACATAACCCATGATGTTTCAACATACCTTGCCTTACAGCCTCCTTACTCTCTACATAACCCATGATGTGTCAACATTGCTTGCCTTACAGCCTCCTTACTCTTCACATAACTCATGGTGTGTCAACATACCTTGCCTTACAGTCTCCTTACTCTCTACATAACCCATGATGTGTCAACATACCTCGCCTTACAGTCTCCTTACTCTCTACATAAC